CTTGAAACAATCATTTGTGTAATGTTTCCCACTCGTTAGTGATTGACCCAAGAGATGAAGCCATATCTGTCTTGCTCAACCCTCTGTTCCAGAAAGGTCTTGGCTAAGACCTTTGGGCATCCTCCTCCCCCAAGCATCCCTGAAATCCAGCAAGGCAGGTCTTGGAATTCAGCCTCCCGGAGGGATGGTGATGATAACTGCACATTCCTTCCAAGGGATTTGCCCCCTGCATTTCTCCCAAGGCCTGGCTGCTTCCTGCCTCAACATGTTCCACCTCCTTCCCTCTGATTCCCCGAATTTGGGGAAGCAGAGTTCACTCCTTCCACTTGCTCACCCCATCCCACCATCCTCCCCTGTGGAGCCTTTGACTAGCAGAGGAAAAGATAAGATCACAGGTGACATTTAATTGGAGGGTTTTGAGCTAAGGAGCAACATGATTTGGCTTCTATTTTAACAATATCAGCCTGGAACAGACTGGAAAAGGCAAGAGAAAAACAGGGAGACCAGAGCAGCGGTTGCCAAACCTTTCTGTTCTCACAGACCTCTGGTTGGCGAACACTGGACTAGAGCAACTCAAGTGAGAGAAGATGGAGGTGAATTAGTTACCTGCTGCAAGCTTGGTGACTTACAGCACACACATTTACTCTCGTGCACTCTGCAAGCCACAAGTCCAAAATAGGCTTCACCTGGACAAAACGAAGCTGTTGGCAGGACCATATTCCCCCCAGAAGCTCTCGGCAGAGTCTCTTGCCTTGCCTCTGCTAACTCCTAGAGCTATTTGTTGCATTGCTTGGCTCAGAGTCCCTTCTTCCGTTTTCAAGGCCAACAGTGTAGCATCTTCAAATCTTTCTCTGCTGCCTTTACATCATCGTCTCTCTTCTGTGTTAAATTGTCATCTGCCTCGCACTTGTAAGGCCACTTGTTATTGAATTAGGTCCCTCCCCGTAGATTATTCTGGATAATTTCAAGATCCTTAGTTTAATCACATCTGTAGAGTTTTGGTTGCTATATAAGGCTTTTAGGATCATGGGTTCCAGGGTTTTGGACCTGGATATCTTTGGGAGCCATTATCTAACCTATCAAAGGAACCTTGGACCAGGACAGAAGTGATGAAAATGGTGAAAAATGAGCCGGTTCTTGGATCTTTTTGGAATTAGAGTCAGTTGGGTTGTCTTATAAATCATATGTGGGATGTGAGAGCAAAAGAGGAATCAAGGAACTTGCCAAGGCTTTGGCCTCAGCAATTGTAAGAAGAGTTTCCATTTTTTTAAATGAAAGGCTACTGGGAAAACATTTGCTGGGTGTGTGTGTGTGTGTGTGTGTGTGTGGCAATAATGATTGATTGATGTCAGAGCGTTTCAGGGCTCATGGACATATCAAATTTGCAATGCCTCACCCCAATGGGCATGTTGAAAAAGCCGCTGGATATATGAACCTGGAGTTCAGGAGAAAAATCTATGCTGGAGGTACCAATTAGGGAGCCTTCAGTGTGTCTTTAAAGCTTTGAATTAGAATGAAATCATTAAGGGTGTGATGTATTCTCTATGATTTTTAAAAAAAGAGAGATCCAAGGACTGAGGCATGGGTGACTCCAATGGTTCAAGTTCAAGGTTAGGGAGATGAGAAAGAACCAACAAAATAAGAGACCAAAGAAGAGCAGAGGAGGAGGAGGAGGACAACCAAGAGAGGTTGGTGTCCCAGGGATCAGGGAATTGGGGTGGGATAGGAAGGAAATGATTACCTATAGGATCAATAGCATACCTCACCCCACTCTAGCACCTGGCACTTCCCATCACCCCAAAGCACACCCCCACACAAACACCCTCCAGCATGAAAATCAAGCCCGAACCCTAGAAGATAAAGTCTGCAGCCTCCGCCTGCACGCCTGCAGAGGTGCCTCTTTGATGTGGCAACGCTGTGTCTTGTCTTTAGACCCCGTCTCCCTTGCCCATCTGTGATTCCCAGGGGCCAGTCTGTCATCTGTTCCTGGCAAAGGAAAACATCTCAAGCAGCACAATCCCCATCTGCTTGCTACCCACTGAACCACCTGGCACTGTTATTGATTGGGTGCTCGGATCATTAGTTCCTGAGTGGAAAGCAGCAGATGCACTAACGTCACCCAGAGGGCCATCCCACCAGGAGTCCCGACTGCCATTCTGAGCCGTTGTTTTCATTCTTTCAACGAGGATGTTCTCTTTAAGTAGCCCCATTTTTTCAGGCAGATCAAACACCCATCCAGTTCTCAGAATCAAATTGAAGGCAGATCCTGCATCATGCGGCCTACACCAGATATCCTGAAACACCTAGCTAGCCAAGCCCTTAAGGATCTCCCTGTGTTCCTCCCATTCCTCCCTCCCCTCCCGTCTCTTCCCTTTTCTCCTTTCTTCTCTTTCCCCTGCCAATTCCCCTGGAGTTTTAACTCAGTATTTATTTAGACCACTGGTTCTCAAGCTTGGTTGAATATTGCAATCACTTGGGGAATTTTAAAACACTGTTGATGCCAAGGTCCCATTCCCAGAGGTTCTGATTTAATTGCTTTGGGTGTGAGCTGGGCTTTGGGAAAAATTTAAAACCCCGGAGGCAATTCTAATGCGCAGCCAAGTGTGAGAACCGGAGTCTTAGGTTACCTTCGGAGCAGTGAACGCCAGGGCAGCCTTCTAAAAGCTACAGCAGGAGGAGCTGGGTCTACCTCCAGCTCCCTGCCCCGCCTCTCCCTCACATTGCTGGGTTTTACAGGGCTGTTTAAACCATGCCAGGTTGCAGGGTCTGAACACCACCGATCGGTGTGGCAAGTTGCAAAATGCTCTGGTTTTCCAAATGGCACGATCCCACAAGGCCCTGATAGTTGACACCTACCTCTGACTTCTCTTCACAACTTCCCTCTCAGGGCACCTCCAGCCGCCTTTTTATTTCAGCAATGACAGGGCTCCAGCTGCAGCTCTAGCTCCAGTTGTCAGCAATGGCAGGAAAAGGGTAACGTGGATGGGAAACCCAAGGGCACAGGCGCCCGTGCACGCATGTGCATGTGCACCCAATCATGCACACGTGCACCCAATCATGTGCATGTGCACGCACACACGCATGCCCCCTGAACATCATCAGTGAACTGGACTTAGAAGTGGAATCCTGCTAGCACAGAAATCCTCCCACAGTGCTCCTTCCTGTCTGTCCGTGTCACTAGTTTGGAGAACTGTAAGAAGAGACCTGGGTCCTTGGCTGCCAAAACCAGGTCTTGCTCAACGAGCTGCCTTGCTTGGAAGCAGCCGGCCTCCCCTTTCTACTCCCTCCACCTGGGATCCTTAATTGGCAAGATCTAAGCAACACTAATACGCCCAGGCTAGATCTGCGTCTAAGTGCCATCACTGTCAGACTCTTTGAAAATAAGAATTGTCACGAGTTTCCAGAAAGCTTGGTAATAGGTCTCAAGAGCTTGAAAAGTGTCCAGCTCGGAGCCTTTCATCTAATTATTTTACTTCTTATCCTAAAGAAATGATCAGAGATGTGGTAGAAGGCTTATGTGTAAAGATCTTCAACCAAGTATGTATAATTGCAAAAAGCAGGTCCCTGCACACTTTCTATTATACAAGATGGGCTTAATATATCATTGCCATATCATAGTACAGCTTGACAATAAAGTACACAGATTGCTAAAGCTTTATCTTTTCATTTTAGTGATGTAAGAATATGCTCACAATATAATGTTAAATTAAAGTGCAGATAAAGTGATTTATTTTTCAGTTTAATCCAGATGTAGAGTGGATATATACATTTATTTGTAGAGAGGAAAAATTTTATTATGGTTATATTAGTGGTTTTCTGTGTGGTGTGGTTCTGATTTTCTTTCTTTCTTTCTTTCTTTCTTTCTTTCTTTCTTTCTTTCTTTCTTCTTTTTTAGTTTTCCAAGCTTCTATGTTGTCTATAGTCAGGATAAATTTTAAAGGTTATTACTTTTTTAATGAAAAGGTTTCATTTCTCATATGGCAGCAAGCGCCTATCAAAGGCTGACCTCAGAAGTGACCCTGTTATAATCTTCCTCCTATCACTTCCTCTGCACAGACCGATGCATGCCCCTGAGGCCTTCAGCAGCTTTGACTGGGATGAGCAGGGAGCATTCTAGCCCCTCTCAGTAGATCCCCCCTGGGGTGGGGGCAGCGTTTTTCTTGCTGGGCAAAGGGATCTGTGTTGCCACACGACTATAGGACTCTGTGCCATTCATGCTATTCATCAGCATTATGAACTCAACTAGAGCCTCAGGAATCGGAGTGATCGTGCTCAGGCATGCAGAACCTCGCTTATTCATTGGTTCCAGTGTTTCCCAAACCTTTGACATATGTGTACCCCTTCTATAATTTTTGTAACGCTGAGTAACCCTTGTACTCATGAGAACGTAGAATTAGGTGCAGCTAAGCACAGTGCAGTGCATATCCCCACCAAACTTCGGTGCAACGCGTACCCCCACCAAACTCTTCCCGTACCCCTGAGGGTACACGTACCACACTTTGGAAAGGCCAGTGGTCAGCAAACTCATTAGTCAACAGAGCCAAATATCAACAGTACAATGATGGAAATTTCTTTTGAAAGCCACATTTTTTAAACTTAAACTTCTTCTAATACTACTTCTTCAAAATAGACTCGCCCAGGCCATGGTATTTTGTGGAAGAGCCTCAAGGGGCCAAAGAGCCACATGTGGCTCGAGAGCCACAGTTTGCCAACCATGGGTCTAAGGGGTATTTATTACGCCTATTCTGTGTGCAGGTGAAGTTCTCACTCATTCACTAACATTGTTAAGGGTTGTTACTTGAAGGAGCTGACTGATGGGCAGAGAAAGCAAGTGTAGGACTAAAGCTTGGGGTTCCACATGGATGATACCTGCACCCTGCTAAGCAGTTGTTTGGTAGGGGCTTGGGGTCATGATCTCACAAATGCTTCCTCTCTCTCTCTCTCTCTCTCTCTCTCTCTCTCTCTCTCTCTCTCTCTCTCTCTCTCCCCCCCCACCCCAGATGGAGGTGATTGTTGGGGACTTTGGGATCGTAGTGGTGCCCCGGGATGCAGCTGACACAGACCGAATCATGAATCACTCCTCAATACTCCGCAAATACAAAGTGAGTTCTCCATCTCCCTGCTGGTGTAGCTCTGTGATGTGGCCCTTTTCTGCAAGGTCAGGGGTGCTGGAAACCTATTCTCTCTGCTCTGCCCCTAGAACAACATCATGGTGGTGAAGGATGACATCAACCATCCCATGTCTGTTGTCAGCTCAACCAAGAGCAGGTACGTTTGACTCATCATATGAGGAGAGAATGGGGAGCAGCCAGACCAAGGCTAAATTAAAGCAGAACTGCAGAAACCAAGGTGCATTCCTGGAGCCCTTTTGTACCTGTGGGTGCCTTCCCGCCACAGCCCCCCGTCTTGTGAGAGGGCACCTTTGTCTCCGTCCGGCTCCTGTAAGAAAGAAAGGAAATGGTCATCAGAAGAACCCCAATGAGAATCGATTTTCACAGACCATGGGGCAGAGAAACACAAAGAAACGAGATAAGAATAGCTAACATTGAAATGCCTACTGTGTGCTTGGGCTGTGCTAAGTGGGTTTTGTAATGAATCGTTTGATTTTTGTGATAAATGAGATAGTTATTGTCCACATTTTGTGGAAGAGAAAACTGAAGGACAGATGGGCTTAAATCGCTTGCCCAAGGTCCCTCTGCAAGAACTGGCAGAGCCAGGATGAAATGGAGTCACCAGGTTGGGGGAGACAATGTGGGCACAAGAGGGCATTTCCTAAGAGGGATTCCACTTACTGGTACTGGGGTGTTGAGTAACCCTTCCCCTGAAAGAGAGTGGGCAGACCAGTCCTCCTGCTGGGCTTCAGGGAAGGATGTCCATCCCATTACCATCTCTTCTCATCCAGGCTGGCCCTGCAGCATGGGGACGGCCACGTGGTGGACTACCTGTCTCAGCCCGTCATCGACTACATCCTCAAGAGCCAGCTGTACATCAACGCCTCGGGCTAGCAGCCACACAGCCCTCCACTACACTCTCCCCATGTTCTTCGCCAACACACCGGCCCCTCCAGTCTCTGTCGGTCCCCTGTTTCTCTCCAGCCTCTGTTTCTCCATCTCCTCATCTTGACTGTTCTCCCCGTTTGCCGGCTCAAGCCCCCACAGTGTGGGGACCTTCAGAGAACCTCGGCATCTCTTCCTCCACAGTCACCTTTGGACAAACTTTCCTCTAGTCTCCGGGTTGGGGGTGGGTGAGGGCGTAGGGGTGGGAGTTGGGGGGAAGTGCTGTCCTTGGAGATGTGCTGGTGGCCATCTCCCAGCATGCTAGAGAGTGGCTCTGGTGCCCATCCTCCCAGCATGTTCTGGGGAGGCAGCTCTGGCTCTCGCCTTCCCAGCATGCCCTTTACCACAAAGGGCTATTTTTTTCTTTTCTGTTTTTGTTTGTTAGTTTGTTTGTTTTGTTTTAATTTTGATTGCCGTTGTTCGCGCCTCATAGAACTTGGATGAAATCAGTTTCCGTGGTTCTTCACGTCTGTGGTCTTGGTGCATTCCTGTGGAATCGCTTCCCTGTGATGGGAAACTGTGGCCAGACTCAGCACAGAGAGCGTGTGAGGACCACTCCCAGGGAAGAAAGCCAAGCCACCTCCACTCTCCAACACTTCCCCCTCCCCCCACTTACCTACACCACCCACCCCACCCCCACTCCCACTCCCTACAGCAGCAGCAGCAGCAGCAGCAACAGTCTGGGGTCAGGAGTGAGACTTGCAAGTTCTGAAACCTGGGAAGCAAGTCTGGGAACAGGAGGGTTCTTAGAAGAATTTGTGTTCATTTCCTTAGTTTCAGACCATTTTCTGAGGTTCTGGGCCTGGCTTCACAAAGAGCCAGTCCATCCCCATTTCCTGGTGGCATCTATACAGTTACTCTTGTGGGCTGTGACTGGTGGCAGAGAGTGGGTCTCCTGCCATCCCAGGCATTTTCAATCCCCATCTCAGCCAATGGAGGCCACATTCTTGCACCCGAGAAGAAGCACATAAGCAAGGCCACGTCCTAATGATGCAGTCATCTCTGAAGAAAAATATGCTAGGAATTCACTCATCCCTGGGGATCTTTGCTAATTGCAATTATTGCCTGTTTGGCTAGGACGTGTCTCTGTCATAATGTGAGTCCAGGATGACGTAGGAGAAAGTAATTGGTTGTCTTGGTGGAAATGGATGATCCTTCAACCACTGAGCTGGGGTGACACAGCCTGAGGCAGTTCTGGAGAAGCAGAGTCTTGGCCTTGTTCTTATCTCCTGCCAAGCCTGTCTTATATCCTGCCAAGATAACACTGGTCTTATCTCCTGCCAAGCCAGCAATCCTTGTCATCATCTAAGGAGATCTGCCTGGCAGAGAAGGGGGTTCACAGGATAGAGATCGTGACAAGAGCCACTATAGTTTCATCCATTTTCTCCCTCATCCCCACCTTCCTCCACCGCCCCTGGAAACAGTATTGACATGCTCTGTTCTACTTGTTCAGGCCCCGCGCATGTCCTCCTTGGAGACCAAGAGGAAATTATTCTCTCATGCCCTGTCTCTCTCATCCAGTCCCTGGCTCTTGGGTTTCCGATTGTCTTTGAGGAACGGTTCCCGAGCAGCAGGACAATTTTATCAAAATCTAGTACGAGCTATGGCCCAGAAGGGGTTGGGTGAGATCTGGTACCAGGGACAATGGTCTCCACCACACACTTCACATCTGCAGCAGCCTTCAGTAGTCTCCCGATAGGGAACCGGATTCAGCAGAAGAGCATGCAGAATAGCATCCAGGAGGGTGTTATTCCTCTTGGATTGTGGTAGTCATCTCCAGAGGAGAGAAGGAAAGATTCTATTCTTGGGTCTTAGTGCTCATGGCTAAGAATCATGGATTCATAAATGAAAAGAACTTTAGACATTAGTTGATCTAACTAATTCTCCTTTACAAGATGAGGGAGCAGAAGGCCCCTGAATTAAATGGCTGGTCCCCAATCACACAGCAAGTGGAGAGCCTAGCAACAGGATGTTGTTTCACGGACCCTCAGGTTATCACACCACATGGCCTCTGCCCCTCCAGTCCCCATGCTACTGACCAGCTAATATGTGGTTTCTACTCTCCTTAACCTTTATCTGGGTCTTTCTCTTAAATTATGTCTGATCCAAGTGCTGCCTATATATGGCTTTGTATATGGCAGTTCCGAGGGAAAATGTGATGGTGAGGAAGACTGTAGCTAGATTTCCCCTCAGAAATCAAGAAATCCCAACAGTTTAGAGGAAATCCTAGAAAATAACTCTCTGAATCCAAGAAAGAGTTGCTTTGTGGAAGGATAAGAAGGACCCAGAATGCTCAAGATGACACTAGTATTAGAGAGAGAAAGACAGAAAAGCCTTTGTCTAAGCAAAGAAACAGGAAAATAGGGAACTGGGTTCCCTGGGAGTGGGTGGGTGGGGCATGGAATCCTCAAGGATATGGAATTTACAGATAGATTTTATTATGAGGATCTACATGAGCAGACCCAAGAATGACAAGATAACTTTAGTCTCTTTAGTCTTTGTTTCTTAGCTGGACTCTGGTTAACTGGTTAACTGCCATGTGTCCAAATGGAAACCATCTCCACACGCCACAATATTTTGAATTTAATTTAAAAAATTCGCCGCTTGCACCTATAGACACTTATGGCGTACAAAGGGTTAAGCCCCATTTAGTCCACAACCATTGAGAGAGAACTGGGCTTCTCTGTGCACTCAGTGTAGGGGGGAGGAGATTCAGAAAGAGAGAGGAGATGAGCTAAGGAGAAAAAATAGAAGTAGATTTCTAGGAATAAAAGGGAGCAGGTCTTGTCTTGGTCCATCACAGGGATATTGTTACAATAGCTTTACATCAAGGAAAAGTGAATCTCCTTTTGGGTAGAACTGTCCATTCCCCATTCTGCCCTATTCTTCCTTTGCTAAGGGGGAGGTCAGAGCCTCTCCCTCAGTCCAGGGCAGGACATTGTGGCTATGACCCAGCTAATGTCAACACCAGAACAATGATTCAGTTTGAACTAGTGCCACAGGTGCCAATAGGCTAACCAGTGGTCAGCAAACTTCGGCTTGGTAGTCACATGAGGCTCGCTAGCTTCAGTTTGCTGCTCTGTTGACTAATGAGTTTGCCGACCACTGGGATAGGGGCTTAATCATAAGAAACAACAACAGCCTGTAATTATTGGAATTGAGAATCTAGGTCAGTGGTCAGCAACAGAGCCACAGTTTGCCGACCACTGGGCTAACCAATAGGCTAACCTCCAGACTCTGACTTCCCCTCTGGGGTCCTGCTGCTCCCTACAAAGTACAACCTAAGGCTGGCGTGGCTCCGAGTCTGTGAGAAAGACCTGGGCTGGGCTGATCATGTAAGAGGGTTCTGGAGCCACATTTTTCTGTCTGCCAATAAAAAATGTTCCATTTCTCTGAAAGTGACTGATATGAGCAAGAACCCTTTGTGTCAAGGACTGTCTCTTCAAAGAATGGCCCTCTGGCTGGGGGGGTGAGCGGAGGGGAGGGGCTAGGGTGGGGCTCTGTGCTGCTAGCTGGTACCTCATTTGCCACCCCCTCTCCCAGGCAGCCTCTTGCTTTCATTTTCCTTGAATGTACCTGGGAACAGGGGAGGGAAGTCTCTTACTGAAGTGCCTGAAACCCAGAGCTAGAGCTTCTAGAGACACCGTTCTGCTGGTCTCCGCTTGGCCTACCTTTCCCCGACATTCTCTGGTCTCGTGCTCCAGCTTCTCACGAAGAATAAGTGAACTTGCTGCTCTACTGAAGTAGAAAGCGAGACCCAATAATCAATCTACAGCAAAAGGCAGGGAATTACAGGGAAAAACAACGTGTATCTTAACAGCCCAAATCTATTCTCCCAAACTACACACGCTGTAGGGGACTGAGAAGCATGTTATATTTTATTTGTCAAAAACCAATCAGTGGAATATAAAAAGCTACGGCAGGAGGGCCAGCAGAGGAGATGGAAAGGATGGAAACAGGGACCGATTCTACAGCTCATCCAATTAGGACACCTTAGGAATAGCATCGTGGTCATGAGGATGAGGATGCTTTGGTGAATTCATCCAGCCTGCACCTTCCTATGGCTGCTCAGAAAACTCAACTCGTGGTTTCTTAGTTGAGTGAGTTGGGAATGTCCTATTAACCTGTTCCAGTTAGTTAGGACTGCATTACACATGTTCCCTCCTCAGTCCCAGGGCCCAGAATGCAGCTGGATCCAGGAGATGTCAAGGATTGGCATGAGGAGGGGGAAGTTTTTTTATTTTTTTGAGTCACTTTTTGGTCACTGATTTGGCCATTTGAAGAGCAAGATTTGCTTTATAGAAACCAATTCATTCCTATAAGCTACATTTGAGTTGCAACACCATTTCACAGTGAAATATTTTGAGTGAAATGTTGCTGCTTGGAGTAGTCACAGACAAAAGTTTCATCAGCAATATGTTTCAATTATGTTAATAAAGAAGCCAATGCTACTGGAGTCTCCTGTCTTGGTCTAGAATCTTCTCTGTGGGTTGCAGAATATATCACTTTTTCTTCACAGTCCTACTTGACAGATGACAACAGCTGTATAAATGTCCTTGGAGCTGGTCTAGCTGATGCCACATGTGTAATATGAAAGTATTTATAAACACACACAGGGGTCAGAAGCAGGAAAGAATTAATTAGCAATTTTGTGAACTGTGCCTAAGTTTTTTCAGCTAAAAAAATAATAATAAAATCTTAGCTTCTGTCCAAATCTGCATAGTCTGGTATTGGTTAGCTTTGACTCCTTTATGAAATCAGTTCTTTATGAAATAAAAATGTCTAAAAATTACAAACTTGAATAACTTTTTGGCACAGAAGATCTTAAGTAAGAGAGAAGTTGCTAAACTCGCACATTGTCCTGGCAATGTAAAAAAGCAAATAATGAATAAGTTGTTAATTGCCCAATCCTGCTGTAACTCCTAGTTCAATGTCATTTTTAGTTGTGACATACACATTGTATTGGTGTAGGCCTAAATGGTGATTGTTATGAGCTGATCTCAGCTGTGATTCAGAAGGTGAAATAGTAATTTCCTATTAGGTCAGCTCAGTTAAGGCTTAGCTACGTGTTAGATTAGTTGTGGTTATTATTATTTTTTTTTTAATAATTTTAGTTCTTAACTTTTTTTTTTGTTTGTTTAAAATTGAGATGAGTGAGCTTCGTGTGTATCCATGTGGGTTTGGTGGCATAGGAAAATGATGCTCAAAACGCCTTGTAAATTGATGACTTGTATTTATGTTTGCTATTTTGACACAAAGCTAAACACTCTTTTCTCTGTCATAAAAATATATAATGATGAGAGCATGTTTAAATGAAGGTTTAAACACTGATTTGATCTGCTAACTTTCATGAACTTGTCAAATAGATATTTTAATGAACATATATGTACATTAACATTTCTTCCCATACGACCCATACATAAGCTTCAGATCTTGGAATTTCCTAGGAAGTTTCATGTGGTTCATAGTGTAACAAAAGCAGAGAAAACAACAACAACAATCTCTGCTTTCCAGGTGGGAAAACCGAACCACAGCAAGAATCCATAACATTCCCATGGCCATGCAAAACATTAAACCATGACATGATAAACATATTCATGGTCCTTGAGACTTGTTCCAAACATTGGACATGACTGAGTGTCTTCCTCCCCCTCCCTCCAGCCTCCCAAGAGTACTGGAAGGAAACCACATCCTGGGATAAGGCCAGAAATGCATCTGCTGAGAAGTTCCAGTCCATAGGCAGTTTCATTTCTACTCCCATCTCCATACAGAAATCCCCATGAATCAAAGTAGATGATGATGTGTGTTCTAGTAAATGCCCACTGTTGGCACAATTCATCAGAAAACTCTCAGAGGAGAAGTATAAGAAAGTTTTCACTACAAATGACAAGTACTGATGAGAAATCAGAAGAAAAAAGTTCCCTCAATATGCCAGGGTCAGGTCAAGTCTGGTAACATGTGCTGCGCCAGCACGGCCAAGGATGACCATATGTGGGGGTGACTGAAAGGCTTAGAAAAGACAGATAAGAGAAGGAAAGCTGGGTCTCAGTGGAATACTGCCTCTCTGATGGAGAGAGCGACAGCGCCCACAAGCCTTGTCTTTATTGTATAGCCAGATTTCCATGAGGCAAAGTAAGGGCGTGGTCAAGATGTTTACAACATTCTCGTGGGTTTTGATCCTCTCAATTACATGCACCTGAGTTCTATCAAACCCACATCACTCAGGCATGTGGGGCCACGTGCTGGGACCATAGGTTCAAGCTTACAACTACAGCTGTTGGCTATAATTGTGCTGGGAGGGCCCTGCCCTCCAAGCTGGGACTTGCACGTGGCCACGAGAGGACTGTGACCACTCATCAGTCCAAGGCTTGGACCTGTCCAATCACAGTAGCTGCGTCCCACAGTAACAGAGGCTAAGCCCCAGGTAGGCTATCTCTAAGTCACAAGGCCTTTCTCTCTTCTTAGGGACTACTTGTCCGGAAGACAATCTTATGACTTAACAATCTATCCCACTGAGGAGTCCTTTATGGTTGAATGTTCCAAGTAATTGGGTCCTTCATGAAGTTCCCTAGTGCAGTGGTTGGCAAACCGCGGCTCTCGAGCCACATGTGGCTCTTTGGCCCCTTGCGTGTGGCTCGGCGTTAGAACCACATCCTCAAAATAGACTCACCCTTGCCGAAACCGGTTTGGCTCAGTGGTAGAGCGACGGTCTGCGGACTGAAAGGTCCCAGGTTTGATTCCGGTCAAGGGCATGTACATTGGTTGCGGGCACATCCCTGGTGGGGGGTGTGCAGGAGGCAGCTGGTCGATGTTTCTCTCTCATCGACGTTTCTAGCTCTCTCTCTCTTTCCTTTCCTTCTCTCTGTAAAATATCAATAAAATATATTTAAAAAAAAAAAAAAAATAGACTCACCCAGGCCGAAAACCAACTTCTGCGCATGGGCCAGGAAGTTTCAATCACACTGTATGTGCGCGCCCTCACATGGTATTTTGTGGAAGAGCCACGCTCAAGGGGCCAAAGAGCCGCATGTGGCTCTCAAGCCACAGTTTGCCAACCACTGTCCTAGTGTATGTACTGCCTAGCCATTTACTCAGCAGAGACAGATAGCCAATCACTAATGATGCATTCTCCCCTTTTTAGATCATCCTATATTCCCCAGTTCCCTGGTAAGTTAGCGGTGAATATGAGAGAAAGTGACTTATAGCCCCTCTGAAGCCTGGCCCACAAAAACCTTCCATGTGTCTCCCTCTTCCATCTTTTTCTCCTTCCACCCACTGGAGTGGAGATGATTTCCAGGGTGACCCTAAAAGTCGCATGTTAAAATGGCAGGGCCTCTGGAATGATTACATGGAGGCTTTTCCATCCTACCAACTTTCTCCCCATTCGGCACATTATTGGAACAAGAAAAATATCTATTGTGTTTGAGTTATGTACATTTTTAGGTCTATGTGATATATCGATAGTAGTTGATCTAATAGAATTAATACACCTTATTTTCTGGGCACTATTTAATTAAAGCAAGAGATTTGTAGAATATGTGATTGGGTGTGGCAAGACAGGATTATAAATTCACTTCCATAGAAGGTAAAGCAAAGTGATCAGACCCGTCAGGGGCAGGGAGGGTCAATGTGGACAGGAGCAGAGTCCTTTTCTCAGCCACTTGGGTAATGGCCAATTCAAGATCTTAATTTATTGTATTTTAACTAGAGGCCCAGTGCACAAAAACCATGCATAGTTGGAGTCCCTAGGCCTGGCTGATGATCAGGGCTGATCTGTAAAGTGACTGGTGGGACTATCCAGGACCCCTCACTGGTACCCACCTTGGCAGGCCTGAGGCCTGTGGCCTGGAGGCAGCTCCTTTGTTGAACATCTGCCCCCTGATGGTCAGTGTACAAACAGATCTGCTGTTTGGTCTATTTGCATATTAGCTTTTATTATATAGTATGTATTGGAAAGCATAGCAATGTACCACAAACTACTGGTTTTACTTTTATTTTATAGCCAATAAAAATACAAAAATATTCATTATAATCCCCACCTTGCTAAGGTTATCTCAGAAATAAATGCTTCTTCATGCTTAGGAGATAGTACCAGTGAAACCTCACAAAATACTCCCATGGTTGGAAAGGGCCAGACAGATGCTCAGAAAAAGGACTTCAGGATGCTGACTCTAGGACTCCTTGCTCTTTCTGAGGCATTTTAGTTTCCATGGTTTTGGAACCTACACCCCAGGCTTAGAGTTGAACAAATTAGAAATTGACCACAGGCATCTAAGAATTATTCTTTATTAAAAACACGTTCATGAAAAGTCAAGGAATTCAGAGGTGAGGCAGTGCCCAAGTCTTCTGAGCCGAGGTGGAAGGGCCTCTGGCTTTTCCAGCAATTCCCACTGGTGTTGTCATGACTTAATGGTCTGTTGCAATAGGTTGTGGAAAGGGGCAGAGGGACAGCTGGAATACAAAGACATGAGCACCGCCCAGAGCCGTCTCAGCTTTGCCAAAACCCAAGAGCCCCCCCAGGGAGTGTCTTGCAACATATGTCCTGTTGAGAAAAGAGGTTGCAAACCAGGGGGTGATTACAATAAACACCACTTGTGACAAACATATTTGTAAGTTTAAATTTATTTTGTGAATGTCTATCTTCCTCACTAGACAATCAACTCTATGAGGGCAGAGACTGTCACCACTGTACCCCAGCCCCTGGCATACAGGAGGTACTCAATAAATATATGTCGGATTGTTGGATGGATGAATGGATGGATGAATGGATGGAAGGATGACTTTTATCTAGCTCCAGTGTGAGTAGGAACATTTTGAGAAAGAGAGAGAGAGAAATAACACATGGGTGCAGATAATTTTTAATGTTTGAAGTAGGATTGAATTAGGACTAATACATCTTCTAGATAATATTGTACCTCTTTCAACGTCCAAGCTTACATTTTTCTATTACTTTGAAACCCAAAAGTGAATTCCCAGTGTTTGCTTTGCTAGTAGGAAATGCTGATAGGGTGATGCCGTGGCATTGTCAGGAGAACAGATGACACTCTCAGTCCAGAACCTGAAGGTAGCAGGGCATGGCAGGCATCATTGCTCCAAATGGGCCAAGCTTGCAGCTCCTCACTCCATCACTGCTCTCCTCTTCCAGCTTGAAAGTGGAGTACACGCTTACGTACTGGGTGGTAAGTGGGAGGAACTCTGATCAACAAGAACACTGGACACTAGGAGTCAATAGTATTTTACTGGCCACAGTATGACTGGACTTCACTCTCTGTTATGACATTGGGAAGAATTTTATGCGTGAGCCAAGTTAAAATATTTTCCTTTTGTAACATTACTCAAAGAAAGAATGAGCTATCACCCAGCAGCACCTGTCCACAATCCTGGACTCAGTTTATGCCTATTCTGAGGCAATCATCTGCCCGTACATTTTGTCCTTCCATCCAGTCTACCCTTGGGATCCAGGTCCTTGATCAGTCTCCTACTCAGTGCTATTTGCCTCCTTATCCAGCATCAGAAAGCAAATAGCATCACACTGGTGCAATAAGACATTTGTCTGGCCACGGCCTCAGGGATGGTATCAGGTTTAGTTGACCCGAGCATGCCTTTCAGCATGTTCAGACGTCCACATCCCACCCCACCCACTTGAGATAGCTCCTGGAGCCCTGAGGTCTGTGTCCCGAGAACCTCAGTTGAGAAATCACTACGGCAGCTTCAATGTTGCTCAAGAGCCTGGGTGTTATAGCAGCCTGGGGGCAGGTTGTCCCGAATGTTCTCCAAGTTTTTTACATCAGCCAGAATCCCATCTATGCTTGACTCCAGCGAATGGAGTTGGCCTTGCTGGCGAAGTGCCCTATCCTCCAGGTCTTTCATCAAGGGCCGCAGCTGGTTGTTGATCTGAGTCCTGGCTCTGGAAAGCTTCTGCTCCAATGAAACCAGCCTCTCTTCATCTACCATGCCAGGCTGGTCTATTGGAGGGAATGAAAAAGGAGTTTAACAGAAAACAGCTGTGGGTTAGATTCCCTTAAACCTACCTGGCCCTTCTGTATCTTTAACTAATTCTTCTTTCACTTGTCCAGAGCTAATAATATGCCATGCATTTATTTTTAAAAGGTTTATTTTAAATGATAAATAATCTGGGAAACGTGCTGAGAGCACTAGCATAGTTACTGTGTCTAATTCTGAGCTCTCCAGTTAAACAATACGAAGCTTGGAATTCTCCTTCCATATTAGAGTCAACAGTTCATGCTCTGGAAAGATAGGGGCTGAAGGTCACATGGGACTGATCTCATCCTAGGATCAGAATCAAGCCCACATTCTGCCTTCTGAACCACCCTTAAGCATTATCTTGTTGTTATCCATTGAAGGACCTGTCGAAACTGGCTGTGCTTCAGGCTTCATAGAGGCCAAGGTATGCTTTACTATTTGGAGGATGGGTTCCAGCTGTTAGGAAATGACACAAGGTTTCCTTCTGACCTGAAACAGCTAGATATTGATTTACTTCCAATATGAAACATCCCATTTGTTCAGGTATGTTCCCCCGTAAGCAATCTAAAAGTGACGTCAGCATGAAGGGCACCAGGCCAAACGCATTTGGCTTGAATAGGTTTGAGCGACCCTTGGTCATTCAAAGTCAAGGTTAGTTGGCCTCACATATCTAAGCTGAGTGACAGTATTTGGTTGCATGGGGGTATTATACCTAAAGCAATTAAAATGCTGTTGTTCCAGGACTGAGCAGAGCAAACAGAGTAGAAACAACAAAACAGACCAATCCTTCACCTAGGGCAGGAGAGAATTCACGAATTTAGGGGTCCCTATGACATGCAGAGAATGTTAAGTAAGCATAGGGACAAAATAACTATGTCCATGGGGAGGCAGCATGAGCTACTCCAAACTAACAGGAGTACTGGAGACAAAGAGACCTCTTTGAGTCTCAGTTTATACCTGTGTGAAGTAAAACAATAAAACCACCTCATAGGACCTTATAAAGACTTAAATGATATCATACCATGAAACTACCTGGCATTGTGCCTAGCACATAGTAAATGTTTAATAGTTATCTCTCTCTCCCCATTCTCTCATTTTCTATTTAAAGGCCCCCTTGGTTTCATTATCTTTTCCAGAACACTAAACAAAGCTGCTAAAATCTCAACGGGATCTCGTTTTTTACCCTTACAGGGTATTTTACTCTTAGGGGCCCTCATGGGATGACAAAGCAGACCCATAAGGATAACAACACAGATAATATTGGCCTCACAGGGTGATGAAGATACTCAGGGTGATTGATCCATTTTTGTCACAGTGTAGTTTCTACTCTATTTAAAGTTGTTCCATGGAACTAACAATGTAGAATTAGGCCTTTTCCAGAATGTGGCTGGAATCTAATCAAATACCTAGTTGCTTGTCTGCTGTAGTCCAAGCTTGATCAAACAGGCCAAATGAGGGCCTGAAACAGTTCTACCTAAATCTAGAATTTTAATTCAAATCAATGCCTTTTGGAGGGTTCAATGGAGAAACCTGATTTGTTGCCACACCGTGCCATCTGAACTATTTCATCCTAAAATGTTGCAGTATCTCATGGGCCTACCACCTTTATATTTCTTCTGGGTTATCCACCAGGCAGCTCAAGTTGCCGCCACCTCTTACATCCAAGTATAGCTGTGGTTTGAGGAGGGACATATAGCAGAGTCAACTAGAGATTCTTAACTTCCTAAACAGGGAGAAGCTTCCTTCTCACCACTTCCATGGCTTCAGAGAAAGTTCCATCACCTCTCTCCTCAGTTCCTTCAACAATCTCCTGAGCAGCCTCACTCTGCCTTCTGTCTAACCTGCCTTAACTCTCCTCTACACAGCCACCCAGTGATCTGTCTGAAATATACAGTGAGGATGGTATTCCTCTGCTTAGAGCTGTCCACTAGCTTCTCAGAATCAAGGCCAGAGTCCTTAGCAGGACTTTCAAGTCATTTAAATCCTCCACTATTTACTTTGTGATCCATGAGACATTATTTATCAACCTGAGCTTCAATATACCTTCCCTATAAACATTCAGATCTTTGACTTAGAGACTTTCACCTCTAAGAGCAAATGTATTCAGTAATCCATTTTAGAGATGCTAACTAACATAGAGTCCAGAAAATGTACAGTATCTGGGCCTGGACAAAGCTAACTTCCTGATACCCTTAAGGAAAGTTGAGACTCCCATTCATCGGGACTCGTGGTTAGTCTTCTAGAAAAAGGCATGGAGGATGGGGCTGGAAACTGGGGTACTCCTACCTATTAGGTGTAGGATGCTGTCCAAGCTGTTAAGTGTATCTTGGATCGTAACTCCAGCATTCTTGGCTCTGTTATTAGCTCCTTGGGCTTCTGTAACCACCTAAGGAAAAACACACACAAACTCGTCTTGAAGGGTGTTTTCCATATTGGCAAGTTTAAAGGAATCTCCCTTGGAAAGCCGTGGGAACTCACCATCTGCACAGCATCCATATCCATGTCAAACTCCCGCTCCTTTCTGGCCAGCTCTCCTTCCACTTCCCTCATCTCACTCTTCAGAGTGGCCAGTTCCTTCTCCATGGCCAACGCTCCATCTGCTGTCACATTGGCTTCCAAGTTCAGACTCTCTATCTCCTGGGAGAAGAAAAGGAGCCAGGGACGGAAGGGAAGAGAGGGGTGAGGCACAAAAACATTCCAAAGACAAGTGCAGAAAAAATACAGCTGCAGCGAGGCCCTGACAGAGAAATGAACAAGGAGAGAGACAGACTTGGGGACATATCCTTTCCTAAGCTCTGCCTCAAACAAGTTAATTTGGGGGTCTGTGCCTGGGGATCATGAGAGTCAGCACTGAGACACTGCTTCCCTCGCAGGGCACTGATCACCAAATGGTGAACCCAATAGGAACAAGTTGAGACAACACAGAGGGTGGAAACTCATCTCATTCTCTGTCATGTTCCTTTGCTGCCTTAGTCTTTTGCATGACTTTATTCCCCAAGAGAGTTGAGTACGGGGTGCAGAGAATGAATGGGCTATAGCGTTGAGTTTTGTTTTCATTAGGATAAACCTTATCAACATCTTTGTCAATAGCTATTATTAAGCACCAAATTGCAGATGTCTCTGTGCTAGAAGCCATATAAGGGAGGCACACAAACTTGGTCTCTACCCTCAAAGGACCTAAAATTAGAGATTATTTTTGCAAGTCATCAAGTGGTCCAAGAGTAAGGCCAGTAAAAATGTCAAGAGTTCCCTCCAGGCTGTCTAGAGTTGCATTGGCTTTGTAGAAGTCATGCTTAAGTAACAACAATAAAACTCTTCCAGCTGAGAAGCATTCCTAGTGGAGCATTTAATGTATGGGTTGTAAGTGTCACTAATCTGTCTCTCCCCATTACTAAAAGCTCCTGGGAGAGAAGGACTGGGTCTCCATATCCCCAGGCAAGCACAGCCTGGCCCACAGTGGGAGAAGAGAGAAAAATAAATAAGTGGAGCTTATACAGAACACAGAGACAATGAACCCAGAACTCTAGAATGTCATAATCTTGAGTTAAAACATTGATAATCTTTGTTATGAGTTGAACTGTGTCTTTCCCTCCCCCCTAAAAAAGAAGTCCTAGCCCCCAGGACCTCACAATATGAACTTATTTGAAATAAGGTTGTTGCAGATATAATTGATTAAGGTGAGGTCATACGGGAGTGAGCCCCCTAATCCAATATGACTGGTGTCCCTATAAGAAGAGTCAGAGACATCCAGGAAGAAGAATCCCATGTGATGACAGAGGTAGGGATTGGAGCGATGCTGGTACAAACCAAGCAACACGAAGATTGACAGCTGCCACCAGAAGTTAAGAATGTTTCTACCCAGAGTCTCGGAGGAAACTTGGCTCTGCTGACACGTTCATTTCAGATTTCTAGCCTCCAGAACTGTGGGAGAACACATTTGTGTTGTTTTAGGCCATCCTGTTTGTAGTACTTTGTTCAGCAGCTCTTGGAAACTAATGTAATAGCCTATATAAAAACAATGTTGGGTGGCTTTTTTCATGGTGTTGTCCAAAAAGGGAGTTGAAAATAGCAGATTCTAGCATTCAATCAGTGATGGACTGTGAGTCAACCAACAAAAGGGGTGCCCAAGTGGATCTGGAGCCACCATGGGCCACAACAGGACTCTGAGCCCTGTAGGTCAAAGGGGCCCTTTGAATGCTCTGGAACACTCTTTCCCATTCCACATGAGCCTTGTGGTTGGAGCTGCTCATGCTGGCCAGGATCTGGATTTCTCGTTACCTGCTCTATCTTGCCGGTGATCTCGAGGGCCTCCCTGGCTGCGTTCTTAGCCTTCTGGGCGTCAGCAGCGGCACTGCCCAGGGCTTTCTCTGCCTGCTGAGTCTGGTCACTGGCGTCGGTCACCTTCTGGCTGATGTAGGACAGTCTCTTCATTGCCTCTTCAGCTTCTGCTTTTCTGTCTCCAACCTGCAGGTCAAACTCTGAAATGAAGGTAAAGAAACATCGCCATGAAGATGAAAACAAACTTGCACAACCAACTTACAAAAGAAAAATTCCAGAAAGAGTGTTATTACTGCCTGGGAATGAGAGGGGTAGGGGGAGCTGTGGCTATTGCTCTTTCTTATCCAGGAGAAAGCATCTTAAAGGAGGCCTTGAAAAAACCATAATTTGTCCACTGTGAAGAGGAAATGACACTCAGCCTACCCGGGTCCCCATCACTGCAGGAATCTTAAGACCCCAAACCAAATCAGAAGCAGACAGGATCTTTGAAGTCCAAAGTTTCAAGCCAGAGCCTTAAACTCTAAGCTGCCAATGACAGCAGTTGAGGGTTGGATAGGATTGTGTTTTCTGTGAAGAATATCCCAGGTCTTTAGGAATTTTTTTGGTGTGTGTTTTGTTTTGTTGTTGTTTAGTGACGAAGCCTGAAACTTCACCAGAATTCTAAGGCACAAACCTAAATTTCCTGGGACCTGGCTGCTGTGACAAAGCTTGCCCCATAACCACAACAAATTGACTTATACTGGAACCAACCAGGCTACAACAACAACAACAAAAAGAATGAGAAAGATAAATATCTGTATGGTAGTGGGATGTTGGGTCTATGAGGGACCTTACAGATCACATAGCTTAACCTTCTCCCTTTAAAGAGAAAGTTGGGGTCTGGAAGGGCTTTGTGACTTGCTATGGCCACACAGCCAGCTCAGCCTGGTCATGGGGTCCGGCAGAGATTGGAACTCAAGCCTTATAGCTCAATTCTTTCCCTTGCGTCAAATATTAATGAAAACCTTTTCTTTATAAAGTTATTGTCTATTAATACTCCCAATGTACCAATCACTTAGAGAGATACGTGAGGATTCAAAATAAAACAAAGTCATGGTTGCATTTTTAAAATGCTCAAGGGACCTGAATCATGAACTGCTTACCTCTGAGGCTCTTTAAGATGTTCTCAACTTCATAAAAAGTGGCATTGCCCATACTTAGAGCTTCTTGAGCTCTGCTTTTAGCAAGGTTGGCCCGGGAAAGTAGCTGAGCTGATTGCTGTGGAGAGGCAGATAGAACAAGGTTAGTGTAAATGTAACATATACCTGGGAAGTGCATTCCTGCAAGCAAAATCGTTCCCACACATTTCTCTTTGTGACAACAGAGTGCTGTGACTCACCTAAGAGTATAGTGGTGCTGGAGCAAACCCCTCCACAATCTGGGACAAAGCAAATACTATAACCCAATGACCCAAAAGGATCTCATTCAGACAACAGTCTCAACTCTAGACCATTATCAGAGATAAGTTTTGCAAATCATAATTTAAACCTCTGGATACTTCTTGAAGCCAAGCTAGCGGACAGAGCTGGACCAAAATTGGACCCACACGGCCTGGGTCCTATTCCTAGATTTGAGGGCTGATTCAGTAGGTTGAAGATGAGCTAATTATACCAAGGTCTCTATATCTTAGTTACTTCCTCTGTATGTAGTGGTAGCATGATCTTTTAGAGAGTTTCTATCCCCCCCCCCCATATTTATTCACATTTAATGCATGCTTGTTGAGTGAGTGCATCAACAAGATACCTGTCTCTCATTCTTTCTGCTCTGTAAGAGCTGCCGGGTTTCTTCTTCCCAGGTTCCCAGATTGCTCTGCACACGCTTGAATTCATCCATATGCTTCGTCACCAGGCTTGAGAGAGAATCAGCTTTTTGTCTGATCCTCTTTGCTTCTTCCTGTGAGCAAAGGAAATGAGTAAGTCAACTTTCTGCTCATCAGTTACCACACCAGTCTTCTTAGGGCCTGCCATCGTTGTTTGAAAACAACAACAACAACAACGGCCCAAAGTCTAATAGGCACAATGCCAAAGCAGATCTTCTCCCAACCCCCAGGCATCAAACAGGTCTTCTTTTTAAAACTTATTTTTAACTGTAGTTGATATATAATATTATATTAGTGTCAAGTGTACACTGTACTGATTCAATCTAAAAAATGATCACCATAATAAGTCTAGTAATCATCTAGACTTAATCACCAGATACTATGATGATATTTGATTGTATTCCACATGATGTACCTTACATCCTTATGACTTACTTTATAGCCAGAAGTTTGTACTTCTTAAACCCCTTCCCCTTTTCCACCCTTACCACCATCCTCAAAGAGGTTTTGTGTCTGTTTTCATGTTTTATCATATATATACACATACAGGGGAACGTTTTTGTAGGAATCACTGAGAGTGCTTTTTGTGGTATTTAGAAAGCCAAATTTTCTTAATCTAAGTTTGGAATTTACGACCGAAATAACAAAAACTGTGAACAGAACACATGCCTTTTGAGTGGCTATACATAGTATTATAGATTTCACCTAGATATAAGTATCAAATATCTATAATAATTTTCCATAGTTTTCAACAGTCCCCAAAAGTAGGGAAGAGATATAAAACCTTTATCCATAAATTGGTTCAGGATGTGAGCCGAGGCCTTTTCAAATACCAAGACTGGGATTAAAGCACAAGGACATGGGTAATGAGAAAGATACACACTCCTCCTAAATCTAAGCAAGAAAGATCAGCATTGAGACAAAACTGAATGCCTGAACGACATGATGGAACCACCCCGAGAGAAAACAGCATGGCTCATCTTCTGCTCATCCGCACACAGGTGAGATGTCTTTACCTGCAAGGACTGATCAGTGACTCCCTGGAGCTGAGACATGGAATTGAGAAGGCGAAGACTATGCTGATAAGATTTATCTGCTTCGATGTCAGTCTGAGTGGCCTCCCTGGACAACTGCTGAGCGAGAGACTTTGCTTTCTCCAGTCTGCAAAGGGGAAAGTTAGAGGAGTTTGTGAGAATTCACTCTTTTTATTAAAAGCAAAAATCCATCGTGTTGTCTTAAAAGTATGTAGTTGGGATTATCAAGAAAGCCAAATTAGGTTATGTTTCAAATATGTGCATCTAAACACAAGCCTTAAAATTGATATATGTTGGCTAAGGACAATTCAATCCGTTTCCCAATTCTTTTTTTTTTTAAACACATATAAGACTCCCTTATTTATTTTTTTAAATGTATTTTTATTGATTTCAGAAAGGAAGGGAGAGTGAGAGATAGAAACATCAATGATGATGCCGAAACCGGTTTGGCTCAGTGGTAGAGCGTCGGTCTGCGGACTGAAAGGTCCCAGGACCATTCAGTTGGCAGGCCAATGAGCCAAACCAGCTAGGGTGTTTCCCAATTCTTGATAATATAAATATATTGTTGTTATATCCTCCATTCTACTAGGTGAATTTACTCACATCCTTTAAGAGGGTGGCTTTATCTCCAAGCATGCAATATCTCAATCAAAACACACATTTTACTTAAATTAACCAACTTGTTCTTCCAGTCTTAAAGGTATCTGATTTGCCCTAAAGCAAGCCTTTCACTCTTGTCCCTCTTAATATTAATATATTTTTTAAAGAAACATAGTTTGCATTATGCCCCAATGACATTGGTCCCATGACGACCTGCTGAAACATACTTTCCCGCAAGCCCTTGCACCACGGAGCCGTCCAGGCTGCCGCTGCCGCCTCCTTCCTGAATAGCCTTGCGCGCCAGTGACAGCGCTTGTTTGGAATAATCTTCGGTTTCCCTTGCCAGTTGCTCCATGTTCCTGGCTGACTCCTCATGGCTGAAAGAATTAAATGAAGAATTTGGGTTTTCATGGCAAGATCCTCCTTGAGGCTTTTTATTTAAATGAAGGGAGAGAAGCACAGGAACTGGTTTGGCTAGAAATGCCAAACAGAATTGACCCAGTTAGGTGGAATTAGGGGAACTGTCAAGAAACAGGAGGTGTTCTGCAGGAGTGGCCTCGTGTCATTGACTTTTGGGCGATCCTCTCCATTTATGGCATGCCCAGGAGGGGCCTGGGGTGGGGCTTGGGATGGCTATAGCGAGGGGATAAAATACTGCATTTATAAGCTGCGTTCTGCAGGGGGGAAACAAACAGAAACCCCCAAAACCCTGGGTCTATTTCATTTAGGATGTAACCTTACTCATGTGCTATAACTCTAACCTGGGCCATCACGAGGGGGGACAAACCAATCAATAAAAGTCCCCCACATGCTTTTGTCCTCCTGGTTCTGGAAAGAGATACAAACAAACTCCAAGGCAGCTCATGCTACAAAACTCCAAGCCAGCCCCCTGTGCAGACTGAGTTCCGTGTGGGGTTAGCAGAACACGGTACCCTGCGGAGCAGCGGGCTCTGGGCAGAGCTCTGCAACATGGCAACACGGAGGAGCTGCCTGAGGTCATGGGGGCCCAGCAGAGCTGCTGCTCAAGGGGAAGGCCCCCTCTGCAGACTCAGCCACCACCCCGCCTCCCCAGGCTGGCAGAGACACTGCTCCTTGTTCCCAGGCTCGCTATGGGAGCCTGGAGTCCCTCAAAGCTGCAGCGTGTTCTTTTCCAAGGGCGGGTTCATTTCTTGGGGCCCAAGGACTCACATCTGACACACACCAAAGCCATGTCGTGAGTCACGGAAAAAGCTGGGAACACCCTGGCCCCCATCTTCTGCCAAATTACCATGTCTAGTAGCCACTAACATACACGAAAAGGGAAGCGGTTAAAAAATGAGCCGAGAGGTCATGAATAGGGTGCTCGGGGAGGGAACGCCCTGCAGTGTTTGTTGTTCAAGTCAGAGCTGGCGGAGATGGTCAGAAGCAGGGGCGCCCTCTCAAATGCTCACCTGCTTGCCAGTCTCATGGCCTCCTGAGCCAGAATTTTAAAGTCATTGGGTCCCCCGTATTGGTCCGGGGAAGGGATGTTCTGTGAAAAAGGAAAGTTGGTTAAGGTTTTGCCCTTGAAGCCTAAGCAAGTTCGCATCTTCTTGTCAGGACCACTTGTCATTAGCCTCACTGCATTGTGCACCAGGCAACACAGAGTCCCAAGTCACCGTGGTCATTATAGTTAAAAAGAAGTACAGGCAAGAATAAGGTTGAAATTCATGTTCAAAATAAGTCTGGATAGGTAGAAATGCATTAAAAATATACACATGCTTATATTTTCATATAAACATATGTGAAAGTATTCAAAGTCCAGTGGACTGTATATCAAGTTATAATGGTGGTTATTTCTTAGTAATGGGATTACAGGTTTTGTTTTTTTAATTATTTGTTTTCTAAATTTTCTACCATAAATTTTCCTCAGTATAATATGTAATTGTCTTCTAATTTCCTTTATCCATCTCCCACCTACCCACTTACATAATTGTCACCTTTGCCTTTTTATTCTGAATCAGAAGAGTGCTCATTCAAATTTCCCCTCCTACCATACTACAATCTACATAATCAAGATAACCATACTGACACCAATTTTTTCCCTTTACCTTATTTTTAAAAATTTCCCCCATTACTATTTATTTCTCAGGTACCCTCTTCCACCTCCGCCCGCCCCACTAGCAACCATTTTTATTTCCCATTTTCAGAACCATGTTTCCATGCCCTCCTTCCTTTACTTCTCATTTGTTCTTTCGTTTGTTCCGTCATTCATTCCTGCAGCAAACATCACAGCCACACACCGTGCTGGGGTCTGAGAATGTGAACATGAACCCAGATCCTGCCCTCTGGGAGCTAACAAGCTAGCAGACAGGCAGAGAGCAGGGAGAAGAGACTGGCCCGAGAGGGAGACATGGTTAGCAAGAGATGAATCAGAGGGAATAATGTAGCGCAGTGAAATGGGAAACGGGGGGATGCTAAAGAACTCAAAACTGGGTATGACTGTTTCAAGGGAGAGAAGTCCAACTCTCTGCCAGATGGATAAGAAAACTTGAGAAACAGCCAGTGATGCCTGCAGGCGGGTCCCAGACACAGCCATGGTCTCAGCACCCTCAGCCAGCACCACCTACCGTGTTGCCTAGAGAAGACCGGCTCTCCTCCACGCTCAGGCGCAGCTGAGTGATGAGCCTCTGTGTGTCCTGAACTCGATTCTGATACTGACTGCCCAGGGCCTGAAACCTCTCCACGGTCATCTTGAGCTCATTCAGGCGGTTCCGGTAGCTATTTTCTTGGCTCCTTGCCTTGGCCAACCGGAGGCTGAAAGACCGCATGGCCCCTGGACAGCAACAAGGAAAGGGAGGATAAGCTTTTTTGAAGTCAGCACGGGGATCAATCATAAGAGAGGGCTGACAAGGGGACGTCGACCGGCCTACGGCAAGATGGTACAAACCCACTAGATGAATGCATGCAACTGCTCTTCTGTCTCCACCATTCATTTCCCAGAGAATGTCTCAGTCAGTCCTTGCCCCTCCACAAGGGCTGGGTAGCGGGACCCGCTGAAATGGTACCCACAGAGGAGTCTGAGACCTCGGGTGGCAATGCTTTCTAGACTGTGCACTCTCTCCTGTCTGAAGGGAAAGTGGCCTCCATCACCTTCTGAAATCTGGGCTTCTCTCAGCATGTCCCGAAGGGCCTGCTCAGCCTGCTGCATCCTGCCTTCCAGCTCCGCGTTGGGTGCTCCTCCTCCACCGCCCTGAGCCTTCGAAACCAGGTCCTCCAGGCTCTGGAGCTGCTGCACAAACTGATCCATCTGAAGCCACACGGGGAAGAGGATCAGAACTCATCATGGTCGGACACCAGGTATCCAGGGGATACAAGCTAAAGGCCCAGAAGTGCATAGCAGGCCACAGTGGTCCGAAGTTCAGACTCTAGGCCTGGACTCCTGGCCCCGCTACTCACTAGCTGTGTGACCTTGGGCATGTCACTTCTTTACCTATAAATGGGGATAATAATAATAATAATAATATCTCATAGAGTAATGACTAAATATTTGTATAGTGCTTAGAACAGTGCCTGGAACAAAGAAAGTGCTACAGAGGGATGGTTAAATAGGTAAATTTTAAAACTGGGTGTCTGGCCTGTGTGGCTTGGTGGTTAAGCATAGACCTATAAACCAGGAGTTCATGGTTCGATTCCCAGGTTTCAGACTCAGTCCTCAGTGGGGGGTGTGCAGGAGGCAGCTGATCAATGATTCTCTCTCATCACTGATGTTTCTATCTCTCTCTCCCTCCCTCTCCCTTCCTCTCTTACATCAATAAAAATATATTTTAGAAAAACAAGTTGACTTTGTCCTACATTTAGGGTTCTATTTGGGCCCCTTCTCCCCCCACTCCTCATTCCAGTAAGAAACTATTTAATAATTAACAACAACATCAATTTCATTATCTGGAATATAAATGAGACATTTCTGGAAGCCATCTCTGTTTGTTTAGACAGCCTTGAGATCTTCTGGACTCCTCATATTTTTTGTGTGTTTATGTTTTTCTTCATTTGTCTTACAAGGACAACTCTTGGGAAAAAATCCTAAGAAGTGGCATAATATAGTAGGAAAATCACCGAACTCAAAGTCAGGGGCACGGGTGGTATTCCCACGTCCACCTGACCGTGTGACTTTAAAAGGCTGCACATTTTTTGAGACTGTTTTCTCAATAAAAACTGAGATCAGAATGCTTTTTCTCCCATCTTAACTAAGTTATCACAAATACCAAACGAGACAATATCTATAGAAGGGGTTTCCAAATGACACATGGAAGAACATAAATCAGAAGTGTTACTACTATTATAGTTTTTAATACAGTAATTTTTAAAGAAAAGATAATAACCCTTCCCTCCACCCCCAGATCCTAGAGCTATGGCAGAACCACCCAGTAGACACTGAAAGATTTCACTCATGAAGTGAAGGGTGGTTAGTATGCACACCTGAATCTTCACTTGATCATAGCAAGCTGGACAGCTGGTTAATGCTGCATGCTCACAGTTGAGGCCACCAAATCCTGGCTTACAGATGCAGCTGCCATTGCTTCGACACTCCATAGGCTCGGAGCCCATTGGGTTACAGTTGCAAGCTAGAGACAAAAGACAAAACATTCCTATCACACTAATTCCAGAAGCGTGAGATATAGCAAAATAAGAGAAAGATCAAGTCAGCATTTCATACTGTGTCTCTGACTCACATTGGGTGAGACGCATCTCTGGGCTATGGCTCTAAGCACATCCCTAATATAGTTAGGTTTCAGGAGTCATCTGGCAAGTTTGTTTGCTGAGTGTCGGGGTGAAGAAATATTATGACAGCCCATCCTTTCTAATGGCACTTATTTTTCCCTCCTGTTAAATTGTAAGGCTGGCACTCTGACTTTGCTCACAAGGTGAACAGTATTTCTTCTGGGACTTCTTCTATTTCACAGATGAGGAATATGAGCTCAGAGAGGTTAAGTAACTTATTCAAGGTCACACAGCAAGTGAATGGCCAGCTCAAAGGAGAACTTGAAAAGAGCCAATGCCCTTTTCCTTGATCCTAGAGCTATAGCAGAACCACCCAGTCCTGCTGCCTTTGATGTATGAAATACAGTTAAGAAAGCAATACCTTTAATCAGTCAGTCAAATTAATTGTACATCTACTATGTGCTACATTCTATTCTAAAAGCTGAGGATATAACAGAAAGCAAGACATTCTAATGGAGGTACAGTGATTCTCTGGGTTGTTCTATGTTCGGTGCTCACAAAAAAACTCAGTATCTATAATAATAAGAACATAATATGCGAATTAGACCGAATATTTTTCTGGACATCCTTCCAGACAACCTTGTGGATGAAGCTGGGGCTTTAAGGGAAGCCTGGGTCCCAGGGGCCTGCTGGTAGCTGGAGGGAAGCCTGGATCTAGGGTGCCAGGTGCTGGAGGAAAGCTGGTACTGGCAGCAGGGGAAGGAAGGCCTACTCTTGCCCAAATTTTGTGCATCAGGCCTCTAGTGTAGTAATAATTATACATGATGCTGCACTGTCATTATTTGCTTACATATTTGTATCTTTCTTATTAGCATATGAGCTCTTTGGGAGCTGGGACTGACTTACTCATCATTATAACCTTAGTTCAAGCTCCATGTTGGGAACCTGGCAGGTGCTTCACCAAAGATAGCTGAGTGAAGAAATGTATGGTCTAAAGCCAGTGAAATCCCTATTAATAGCCTCTTATAACTAAAATTATATAGCTTACAGTATACTTTCTCTGAGTTGTCTTATCTTTGCAACCACTTTGAGTTAAATATTATCCATCCATATGAGGAAACTGAAGCTCAGAGAAATTAATTGGTAGAATCAGAATACTACAGTAGGTATGTTAAAAAACTGGACTAGAACTCAGTAGTGCCAATGCCACATGGGCTTTTCCCATCATGGGGTACTTTTTAGCACATCACAGCAGACCCACAGGTTGGGATCAGAGCAGGTGGGATTCGTGCCCCTGGGTAGAAACCCCGGGTTGCAAGCCCTGGTTGCACAAAGTTCCTAGGGCATTTCCGGGGTGGTCACTCCAGTGTCAATGGGAGGCTCCGGGCTCCTGCAGACGCCCGGGGAATCAGGTGTCCTCCAACCTGGGCCTCCAGAGCCACTCTGGACCTTGTAATAAGCAAGCTCCTCAGTTTTGGGCACCAGGTCTGGTCTGAGACCCTAGCAACTAAGGGTGAGTCTGTGGTGAGGCCAGCTCCCTGGAACTGAACTTGCCCCAGGAATGTCACCCGGGCAGAGGTGGGACAGGAGGGCTGAGCCAGAGGCCTGGGAGGCACATCCACGCTCTGATCTGAGCAGCATTAGGAACACCCCAGACAGCTGCTGCTTGGAAGCTGCGTCTCTTTAGGAGACATCTGACCGTTACCTTTCTACGCATCAATGACACCGACTTCCCAAGAGTCTCAAACTTCTTTACCGCCCACTCAGCTTGTTTAGGCTTAGTGGCCAGTCATTTATTCCTGACCTATAACAGGTGCGGCAGCCACTTCCCTGCCTACTAGCCTTGGGACTGGGCAGAACCTGGGGTCCCACGTTATCTCCTCTTCCACTTAGGAATGTGAACCTGACCTTGTTCACTTCTCCCACCTGGCTTTACCCATTCAACACCCGCCAGCTCTGTGCTCCAGCCCTGCTCCAGGGAACTGGTCCAAGTCCCAACAGGCTGTTCACGGGCCAGCTGGTCAGAGAAACCAAAGTAGCGTCGCAATACGACCTGCTGCTGGCCTTGCCAATTAGCACGTTCTTACATGTGTACATACCAGCGTGCGTGTACACACACACACACACACACACACACACACACACACACACACCTGTTTGGGGACGCAGTCCTACCTCGACACTTGTCTGCCGGGTTGGGAGCCAAGGGGTCCCCGAAGTAGCCTGGTTTGCACTGGTCGCAGTGGGCGCCGGCTGTGTTGTGGATGCATTTGAGACACCTGCCCGTCAGGCGGTCACAGTTCCCGGAGGCACTGGGGTCCACGTTGTTGTTACACTGACAGGGCTGACAGGACCTCAACGGGCCACGTTCCCCAAAGGGGTCCCCGAAGTAGCCTTCGGCGCAGAGCTCGCAGCGGGCACCTGGAAGGAACAAACGGACAAGTCCCGGGGTCATCCATCGACAGCAAGACCAGACTCAGAGGCAGGAAGTACTCGTTCCCCTTGGGCCCCAGAACAACAGCCTCAGGAGCAGTTCCTGGCGAGGGGCGGGCTCTTGCTCTCCAAGGAACTAGGTGGTGAGGCGAAGCAGGCATGGAGCAATACTCCCAAGGCTGCTGCTGACAAATGAACTTGCCTTTCAAAAGGACATTTCCAAGGTCACTACGTTTTCCTTCTTTACCTTGGTTCATTAAAAAAAAAAAAAAAACTAGGCCAAAGCATGTCTTTTGACTGAACACTTCATCCCCTAATTACAAACCTCCTAAGACAGTTCAGGTGTTTCCTCCTCGCACACCCAGCCCTTCCTCAACCCACATCACCTCTCGGGCATCGAAATTGCCCTAAATTTAGAACGAGCCCATGTAGTAATTATAATTCCCTAGAAATTCCCTGAAATAGAAGCTTGGTCCGCGCATTCATGGCATCAGGATGGGGGGCGCGGGTGGGCAGCTGGCCCGTGAACAGCCTGTCGGGACTTGGACCAGTTCCCTGTAGCAGGGCTGGATCACAGAGCTGGCGGGTGTCAAATGGGTAAAGCCAGGTGGGAGAAGTGAACAAGTCAGGGCGCCTTACCAGTGACTCCGGGGGGGCAGTTATTGCACACGACCTCCTCTGTCTCGGGCATCACTGAGCAGCTGAACCCGTTGCGACAGGGGCACGGCTTGCAGCTCCGGGGGTCGTGCGGGTCATTGTAGAAACCGAGGGGGCAGTCGGCGCATCCGATGTCAGGATTTTCATCCCCCGAGTAACAGTCCCCTGGGAGGCAGAGAAAGAAGGGAGACACAGACATGAGCAGGGTAAAACTACAGTTCCTGCAATACAGTGATGTTCAGTAACCTAGTGCCTTCCTTCCTGAAGCTTTCCTCCACACGTTGGAGCACTGGCATTCACCTTGGCCCTGGTACCAACTCTAAGCATGGCTGAGAACCTGCATCTCCCCCTCACTCTCCCATGCCGAGGAGACATGCCCTTCCTCTCCTCTCCTTAGCTTCACACGGTGTCCCCGGCCCCCTCCCCTGCCCTCACTGTGGGTCCGGTCTGGGTCCCAACACTCATCCAGGCCTTGGCACTGCCTTTGATCTCCCCACATAATTCCTGCAACTCGACACCAACTCCCCACCCACCCCAGCACTGAACCAGGACAGCTATTTCCTGTAACCCAGCACCTTTCCCACAACCCCGTGGCATTTCCACAATGAAAAGGACTGAGTGTCACAGAGCACCATGTCCATCTTCTCCGGCTCAGGCCCGACGCTCCTTAATCCCTTTCCATCTCTGAAGGGAGTTCAGGCGCAAGCGTTCCCACACAGGTCTAGCTCCTCCGCGGGAGACCCCAGCCCCCTGGGCCAGGTGTTCATGTCACTCACCTGTGTCCGGGTCGCAGGTCCCGCCCCCTTGGCAGTTACAGGGAATACAGGTGCCGAAAGGTCCCAGTCTGGGTGAATCTCTCTTGTAGCCAGAAGCACAATCCTGGCAGAACTGCCCCTTGTACCCAACGGGACATACACACTGTTCAACCCAGGGTGCCGGGGCTCCCGAGACGGGGCGGGCCGAGATCAGGGTCACGTTGTCCAGGTACCCAGTGCCTGCAGTGGAGAGAACAGGTCAGACAGAGCAGGTGGCAGGATCTAAATAAAGAGTGACAGGCAGGCCTCTGGGATTTCTCTTTCCTAACGTGCTGTCATAGGGGGTGTTCACTCCTTCGGCCGTGCATGGGGGCAGAGCCGTCCGTCATGACTGAGCACACAAGGCTCTGGGGTCAGAAGAGTCAGAGTTTAAATTCTGGCTCCGCCCTCACAGGCTCTGTGGACCGGGCGAGTCACATAACCTTTGCATAATTTGTGTCTCCTCAACTGTGGAAGCAACACTGCGATCTACTGCCTGTGTTTGCTGTGAAAACTAGATAAGACAACACATATGGTGTCATGTGCCTGGCACGCAGTAAAGACTCAATGCGTTGTGAGGAAACACCTTTCTACGTCCTGTTTGATTCGCTGCATCGGCGATGTGGGAATGGCACACACAGCCGTGGTTCCTTGTCACACGGGGCCCAAAGCTGAAGGAACGCTCACTTCAATTGGATTCTCAATACACAGAACCAACAGACTGTGTGCTGATGTGCGAACGTGATGGCATCGAGTGTAACCCCAAAAGAAGAGCTGCCCAAGGGATAGCGGATCTGTGTCTCAGGGACGGTTTCCCAGTTGGGGGAACGGGCTCCGTGTGCTGTAGATTATCTTCCAACCATCAGCTTCCATCTAAATCCAGAGACTCTTTTTAGCAAGGAAGCATCCTCACTCTTCATTGGTGCTAACACCCCTTTGAGAGAAACATTCCCTTTTATTGACTTCTTCTAGAATCGAAAAATTCAACGCCGAGACTCTACATTGAAACAACCTAGCAGTTTATCTACTTGTTTGGGTGGCTGAACATTAGCGCGCTGAAGCAAATGAAAGGCAAACCTAAGGGGGAAGGGGTCCATTTCTCCCATCACTTACTGTATTCTCCGTAGGTCGCTCGGATCCAGAGGGCTGTGAGGTTACGCAGTAGCCTCCGGAACTCAAAGTAACTCAGCTGGGGACTCCAGTTGCTGCTTGGATGTTCATTTAACCTGCAAGATTTAAAACCAAAGGCTTAAGGACCCAACTCTTTTAAAGCCTTATCATTTGCACGCCTGATACAAATTTTGCCCCTTCACAGTCCTGCTTAGGGAAGAGGCATGGACAAGATCTCAGCACCTTGGCTTGACATACAAGGACCACCCTGTGGGTCCTTCCCCAGTCTTTTCAACCTTATCTGTCCATCTCTCGTATACATGCTGTGTAGCAGCCATAAACAGCTCTGCCAATTCCCCCGTGTTATGCCCTTCCACACCCTCACCTATATCGATACGCACAGTTGTCTTAGTTTTGTCCCTGGGAAAGTCATGCCCTTCTTTCTGGTCTCAACCCACATGCTGTCTCCTCTGCAATGCTTTCTGTGCTCCTCCAGGCAGAACTGGGTACTCTTTCCTTTCCTCTCAAGTCCCCACGAGTATGCATACCGCTGAAGCATCTTTTATACTGTACTATGTTTATTTTTGACATGTTAATATATTCTACTAGACCATGAACTCTTGGTGGACAAAGACCTTATTTCTTCATCTTGATTTCCAATCTTTTAATCAATACTGAGCACTTAGAAGGCACAGCCCCTTTCCTCAACCTCTCTGTACCTACCATTCAAAATTGCCACTCCGCAGGAGAATGAGCAACCCCCTTAGATATACACAGGGCTGTCCGTGAGCTCACTCCTCCCCCCTCTTTCTCTGACCTCACTCTCAGTGTGTTCCTCTCCCCCACTCCACGCTCCACTCATGCGTAACTACTTGGACTTTCCCTAAAGCACAACCTTCCGCAAGCATATTTTCTCTGCCTTGTTAACCTTTCCCCCTTTCTTTCCTTAGAGAGTTGCTCTTCACTGTCACATCTTCTTGAGACTCTTTCCTTGATCAGTCCAGCGTGGGTTAGTTTTGCCTCTGTGTGTTCAAAACCCGTGCCCACCTTATCTATCTTACAAGCTGCACTGTAACCATTTGTTTATTTTTCTCTCCCTTTAGCTTGTCAGAGGCTTGAAGGAGGGAGTCATGTCCTGTCTCAGCACATAACACCATGGCTGCTACATAAAAGGTGCTCAGAAAAGCTTGTTGAATGAACAAATGATGATTGAGCAAATGAATGAAGAAATGTGACTGCAATCATAGCTTGTTCTATTCGACCCACTGGTAGTCTCTCTTCTTACCTGAATGTGTAAGTCTTGGTGATCCCACAAGGCAGTGTCTTGCCTAGCGGCATTAAGGGAGCTGTGATCCGGAGACCAGCACCTTCCAGGATCACGTCATGGGCAGATGGGTGTCTGCCTCCTCTGTCCACACGGTAGTCAAAGGACAGGCTTTGCCCATAGCTCACCTGTTGATTCCCGAGAAATTTGGCTGTGAAATAGAATTTGAAGAGGTTGAGATGAGTGTGAAGCTGGAGAAGCCAGCTAGGGAGCAAGTTTGCACTAATGTTGGCCATTTCTGTTGGAATCCTGTATTACCCACCCCCCACCCTGCCCCAAACCACCCTTCAGAAGAGCCAGTTCATGGCACTAGACATGGCCACACTGCTGTCAGCTACAAAGATGGGTTAGTTACGGAAATGCTCAAAGGGCCTAATTATCACACAGTTCCACCTATTCGATCAATGGTCGTGGCCCACTGGTGATCCATGAGGTCCGAAAGGTTGGCGCCCATTGTATCAGATGATTCATGGCATGGCCCTGTGACAGACCAGTAGGTTAACATCCCAGGTGTGCCGGCAATAGTGCCATTCGTTACCTCATGCTTTAGAGCAGGGGTGGGGAACCTTTGTTCTGCCACGGGCCATTTAGATATTTATATCATTTGCGGGCCATACAGAATTATCAACTTAAAAATTAGCCTGCTCCATTTGGTCAAACATTTAATTAACTCACCCCCAATGCCTTGACAGGGCCAGGCCAAATGATTTCATGGGCCTTACATGGCCCGCAGGCCGGATGCTCCCCACCTCTGCTGTAGAGTTTACAGAATGCTTTCGCAGACACCATTACATTTGATAGCCATAATACTTGAAGGTAGGCATCTCAATTCCCATTTAACAGCTGAGAGCACTGGAAATTTGGAAAGTTATGAGGACAACTCATCCAGGAATCACGTATCAGCTAAGGACGTGACTAGGATTAACATCCTCACCAGAGCTTTGTCATCAGCTTTTCTATATCACTGACTATTTTTAAATCTTTAAGTGTGTAAAGCTTTGAGAAATGCCTTGTTCTTGTTTTTCCATCTGCTTCTCAACAGGCCCCTAGATTCAACCACAGTCCCTATATCTTGTCTTGGTGGGAAACTTAGAAGCTTCCCCTTTGATTAAAGTAGGACCCTCACCCAGGGGCTGACTCTGCTATGACTCTGTCAAATTGGACTGAAGCCTCAACCATCGGCTGCAGATACTGCTGCCCTGAACACTACGGGACATGGTTTCCCTTCTTCAATTCCTCCCCTCTATCCTCACTTCCTAGTCTTAAAGGTTGGCTTCTGTGGGACACACGCCATACATACCAGGAGCTACAAAATAGACAGGGTCTGATCGCCGTGCCGAGCTAAACACGTCCCGGTGGCGCTGTGACCAGTGGAGCTTTGCAGGAGACCCGTTTCTTTGGACAGCCTTCCAGCCGTCAACATCTGGAAGACAAATAAAACCACTGTGCATGTGGACAAACCATCTACTGAGATAAACAAGGCAAGATGTGCTTGCCAAAACGTCCTCGCGGTGAGTAGCAAGTGGGGTTTTCTTAATATTTCCACCCTCACGTCCAGTCCTCAAAACTCCCCAGGCACCTCTCTGCTTGGGTCTCAGCCTCAGCTGCTCCGCCCACAGCTGCATGGACTTCTAGCCTTTGTGTCTCTTGTGAGAAGAGAGCACGTTTTCATCTGCCTGTAATTTGGAATATTATTTTATGGACATAAACAGCGTCTGGCCTTAGTGAGGCAAGAGGGTCCAAGATGTTCAAAGGGAAATTCAGAGTTGGGATCATCTGGAGCTCCCATATTTTTACGGTGCTTTGTAGCTTGGGAACTAATTTCACATAAATGAACTCATTTAATGTATGTGAAAGGAGAATGATTAGTGAATATGAATTCCAGGAAGGAGCTCATAAGAGCCCCTCCCCCTGCACCCAATCCAATGAATGATTCTTTGTGGTTTTGAAACAGATGGGGATGGGAAATGCAGGGAAAAGAAACCCTGGTCTCTTTGTAGCGATTCTTTTAAGTTATTCATTCGCTGGTACAAGTAACCTGTTCAGCTATAACTTTTTCAAGACACCAGAGTCTGCCTGATTGGCCTGTAATAATAATGCACATTAGAAGCTAGGAGAGAGTTGCAAAAGGTGACTCCAGACTCCCATCCTGTGGATGGCCAAATGGTTATCCATCAGTACAATGTTAAAAACAGAAGTTCTAGAAAACAGAGGACTTTACCATGATGGAAGGCAGAGGTGATTTTATGGACGCTGTAGTCTCCGGAGCTGTGGCAGCTGGCCGAATGCCCGTAGCAAAAACACTGGGTACAGCCCTCCGGGTTTCCTGCATCCAGGTGATAGTACCCTGGCCGACACCTGCAGGGCGTTTTGGAAGTCAGAACAAGATTATAGGTTATTTCTCAGTCCATGGCTGTGTTTCCCAAAGTGTGGTACGCGTACCCCCAGGAGTACGGGAAGAGTTTGGTGGGAGTACACGTTGCACCGGAGTTTGGTGGGGATATGCACTGCACCGTGCTTAGCTGCGCCTAATTCTATGTTCTCATGAGTACGAAGGGTACTCAGGGTTATGAAAATTATAAAAGGGGTACACATATGTCAAAAGTTTGGCAAACACTGAATGGTGACTGATTTTTCTATTTTCTCTCCCACCCAGGCCTATTCATTCCCAGAGGGGGTAAATATAAATTACACATGCCTTCCCCACTCCCAGACCACCTGGGGGCAATCACAGCTCTTCCCCTTCCCTACCCAGTGACGGAGCATGGCGGGCATTCACTCTCTCTTCCTCTGGTAGAGTAGAATCATGTGTGAAATTTGGAAGGTTATGAGGTTTGGAAACAGTGATTTCTCCAGTCGTGGTGAGGAACTGAGTGGAGGTCATATGGGCAAGATGGGGTAGGACAGGGCAGGACTATGCAGAGTTGGACTCATCCCAGAGCAAGGGCTTAATGGGGACAAAAGGGAGAGGGGGGTGGGCAGGAAAGCAAATGCTCCAGTCCCAGCACCACTTAGCCCCACTGACCCCCCTCCCCCAACCAGAGCACAAGGTGTTAGCTGGCATCCCCTGACAAAGGATGGCTGGAGACTCTCTACAGAAGCAAAGTGTGGGCTAGAGTTCCACCCCTCTCCCAGCTGGAGCTGTCCAAGGGCTTCTCTGAAAACAGCTGCCACACTGGTCCCAGATGTTGGGGTCACAGAGAAGAGGGGAGGGGAACTAGGGAGAACTCATGTTTTTCTCTGTTTGAGTTTACTACATTCTTCTACATGAAAAAAACGATAGTTTTAAGTATAATTTATTTAACACTTCAAATGATATGCCGGGCCCTGATGTGTGCTCACTCATTTAATCTTCACTACTTCCCTATGAGATGGCAATTGTTATTTCCAATTTTTTCAGATGAAGAGACCGAGAGAGGCTAAGAAGCTTGTTCATTCAGCTGGTAAGTGGCTGAGGCAAGATGCAAACTCAAGCACGTTTGTTTCTAATCCACGTGGTCTAAACTCACTGGGCCATAGGTCGGGAGAATGCTTATGGTACAAAATCCCAGAAAAGCCAGTTGGCTGGGATGCTTCAGAGAACAGCTGCAAATAAATAAGCATGGCTTTTCTCTATAGGACAAGTTTGTTTTTGTAAAATCATGGTTTCTATGGAGGAAACCTGTAGATTAAAAGAAATTTAAAAACAAGGATGGAAAGAAGAAAAGAGGGAGGAAGGGAGGGAGGGAAGGAAATGGGAGGGAGGGAAAGAGGGAGAGAGAGAGGAGAGAGGGGGAAAAGAGGGAAAGAGAGAGGGAGAGGGGGGTGGGGAGAAGAGGAAGGTAGGTCCAGAAAGGGGAGAGAGGGCATGACAAAGGAGGGGAGGAAAATGAAGGGAATCAGGCAACACTACTAGTGTTTACAGGGGTGCACTTGCATAACAAATCATAAAGAAAAGTAAGGAAGCCATCACCCTACAAGTCAGAATAGTGGTCGCTTCCAGGGTGGAGGGAGGAGGGTGGGTGTGGTTGGGATGCCACATTTTCAGCCCAGGGCTGTTTCCTACACTTGGTGGTGCTGACAACATTGGCTTTAGGTGGCTCTCTGTTTCTGTGTTATATTTTGAAATTAAAAACATTTTCAACAAAGTGACTCCTCTTTTAACTCCGAAGCTGCATTTCCTCCTCCCCACCTCAGCAGCAGAGAACCCCCTTGAAAAGCAAGATTGGAATGTGCCTGGCATTTCCTCTGCCCAGGTAGGAGTGACTGGCAGGATGCCAAAGAGCTGCTTTCTTACTTGTCAGGAAATGAGGAGGAAGCCTTTACCCCTGGGGCCTGGCCACAGCCCGCTGCTGGCCACAGTCTCACAGTCTGAGGGCGGAGGGCGGAGGGCGGAGGGCGGGGAGAGGAGGACAGAGCTTTAGGTCTGAGCATTGTCTACACGTCCTCCTGCAGCAGCCAAGGGTGGGTCTCCTCTCTTGGGGCCACCTGCCCAAGCTTGGCATGGGGCCTGCATGCTCTTGCATCTCCCCCGTGCGTGTGCGTGCACGCAGCCACCATGCCATCCCTGGGCGGGCCCTATTCTGCACACGATGGTTAAATATGGCCATGCAGTGCAATATTCCCTCTTACAAGAATTTTCCCAACGCGCTTAATTAGGTCAGGCCTTTCCTGGGAGCAAGATGAGTCATGTGACCTCGTCACTGCGCACCACCTGGTAGCTGAGCACCTGGGGTTTGGAGCCAGCTGGCAAGGGCTCTCACTGGGGCCCTGTGCCTCTCCTGTGGTGCAAACGAAGAGAAGGAGCCACAGCCAACGCATGGAGTCCAGTGAGGTTTGGGGGCTCCGTTGTATTCCCTTTTTAAGCTTTGTTTTTTGAAGATAGAGGACAGGAAGCAGGCCATCAGCATCTGTTAAGTGTCTCTTTCCCATACTGCACTAGAGGATTATTTATGCTAGCGGCCAAGGGCTTCCCCCTGCTGTGTCCACAGGGCCTGCGTTCACAGACCTATCGCAGCGCTCCCCGGTGACAGCCGGCTTGCAGACACAGCGGCCTGAGTCACAGGGCCCCGAGACGCCAGCGGGGTCGCAGTCACAGTTGGGGTCTCTGGGAAAGAAGAAAACAAGAGTTAGGGATGTGTTTCCAAGTGCTTTGCAACTTTCCACATAAAGATCAAGTGCTCATCAGCCAACGTCACCAACTTGAGCAAATCTTTCCTCTTCAGTGAGGTCTTTCTTAACTATCCCTGTCCATGCTCATGCCTCGCCGACTCTGTACAGACTCGTTTGTCTATGACAGGGCTACTCCAGTGTGTTCTGGGTGGCAACCGGTCCGTGACCTGTTTGCTACCTAAAGAGAGAAGGTGCTTTGTGCCAGAATATAAGCCAAACTCATCACTAAGCTGTCTAGTTTAGTTGACTGTTTGGTTCAGAGGATTTTTTTTTTTTTAAGTATTTGTTTCTCCATTGTTTAATTCAATGATATCTGCATTTATTATGATTAATCCCATCTATTTGCTACTTTAATTCATTTAGTTCTTTCTTTAGATAACCCTTTTATTGAGATATAATTCACAAGCTATGTAATTCACCCATTTAATGTGTACAATTCAATAGTTTTTAGTAGATTCTCGGAGTTGAATATCCATCACCACAATTTTAGAATATTTTCATCACTCCAAAAAGAAGCCCTGTGCCCGTTAGCAATCCCCCTCCATGTCCTACCCCAACCCGAGGCAGCCACTACAGCTTCCTGTCTCTGTGGATGTGCCTCTTCTGCACATTTCCTATGAATGTACATACAACATGTGGACTTTTGTGTCTGGCTTCTTTCACTTACTATATTTTCAAGGTCCTTCCATGTCATGCCATGTATCAGTACTTTGTTTCTTTAAGGCTGAATAAAATCCAATCATGTGGGAATACTATATTTTATTTATCCATTGAACATGTGTGTACTAGTTTCTGTGAAGATATGTTTTCATATCTCTTGAGTGGAATTGCTGAGTTTGGCTGATTTTTTTTTTGGCAAGACTTTCTCAGTGAAGTTCTTCATTATTTAATGTTGGCACAATCTCCTTGTCTTTTGCAGACTAGGGCTTTGACTAGTGACTGGTCCCTGACAGTCAAAGCATGGGTCTCTTTCACTCAGTTTGGAACACAATTATGTAGTTATCTCATGGGTCCAAGACCAAGTGTCATCTGTACTCTACTGATCTGCTCCTCCTCTGATTGCCCTATGATCCCATCCAAATCCTGCCCAGACTTGAACTTGACTCCTTCCTCTCCCTTACATTCCTCATCTAACTAGCTGCCAAGTCCTGTCAGGCTTCCTGAAGATTTCTTTGTCAATTTTCACCTTTAATTCCCATGGTCTCCTCCCTGTCTTAGCCCCTCCGTACTATTTATCTAACTCCTTTGGTGGACATTATACAACATCCACTGGCTGCTAAGCACTGGGGGTACTAAGCCATGGGGGACACCCCTGTTGTCTGGGAGTCTCAGGGACAGCAAAGCAGGGGGCAGCTGTAGCCGAGCTGGAACACCCTCTATGTGCCTCCTACAGGGAGGCAGCAGTGAACAAGACAGAGTCATAATGGGGCTCAGGTTCTAGTGAGAGAGACAGACAGACAAGCACATATAAGAAATGAGAGGTTTGAAGTAGAATAGCAGTCAGCACACGGAGGAGTGGGGACTGGGCAGGGAAGGCCTCTGTGAGGAGATGAGTGTGGGGGGGATGGAGCCCCAGGAAGCTCTGTGTGGCTGCAGTGGGGGATTGGGGAAGGACAGTGCTCTAGGCCAAGGTCGAGGCCACCTACACTTGGCTCCTTTGGAGGAGGGAAAGAAGGCTAGTGCGCTAAAGTTTGGGGAGCCTGTGGTGGGGGAGAGAAGAGTGGTGAGAAGTCAGGGAGACTATGAGTGAGGTTGGGGCAGGATCTCACAGGGCCTTACTGGCTTTGATGAGAAGTCTGGACTCACTTTGAGTGGGCAAGGGAGCTAACAGAGGACTGCAAGCAGAGAAGTGATACGATCTACTTGTGTTTTAGGAGGGTTATGAAAAGGAGATGGGGCCCAGGGAATATCACTGAAAAGGGGGCAAGGAGGCTGGAAGAGAACAATCTATGCAAAGGCCCAGAGGGTAAGAGAACATGGGAGAGTAATTACGGGGGCAGACCGAGCATGGCTGGAGGGATCTCCCCATAAGGGCAAGGGGACACAAATCCTCCGCAGGCAGCCTTCTAACGCTTCACTGCCAAGCTCCCTGCCCCCGACCCCTACCCCCAAGCCACACCAGCGCCCTGCCTGCTCTGCATCTCTGCAGATTGGATATGTGATTTATAATGCATGCTCCACCTTCTTCCAGAGAAGAATGTGAGGAGGGACAGAAGCTGCTTCAAAATAACGAAGATTAAAGTTATACACAACAGTTCTCTACTCCAAGCTCATTGGGTAAGAACAGGTCTCAGGTGGGAATCTGAAGATTCTTTCTTCCATTGTTGTTCATCTAAAGGGGGCAATTGGCAGGATGTAGAACATGGGATCCTGAGCCAAGACTCTGGGCTTGACTATCACATCCACTTTCCCCACTACCATGGGACAACTTATTTAACCTCTCGTGGAATATATTTCTTATCTTTAACATGAGTATAATGGTGATCCCAACTTCTTAAGGTTATTGTGAGGGCTGAGATAACCCACATGAAGTTCTCACAGCAGTGTTTGGCACACAACAGGTGCTCAGGAACTGTCACTGGTCACAGGGTTAATGCAATTGTCATTATTTATGGCAGAGGCAGCAGTGGGCACAGTACTTACATCAGCCTTTGGTCTTGGGTGCACCCGGCATCAGTGAGTGTGTGGAAGCCTGGCAGACATCGGTCACACCTGTCTCCTGTCACACCTGGCTTACAGCTGCACCGTCCCGAGTTGTTACATCGAGGGCTAAGAGAACCTGTAACCCACAAGGTAGGGGAAAGAAAAGAAGAGGAAATAGGTAATTTATATACTGTTAGAGAGCACTCCGGGGACAATAAATACTATGCAATAGACACCACCTGCTCCCTCACGCAATTCCCACATCGTCTGAGCTTGCATCTGCCCACCCAGGGAGAATTTTAACAGCAAAGGATGTCTTCTCCCAGGAAATGAATGGAAATTACTCCTGAATGTGTTTTAGTGCATCTATCTGCCTCCTTTCAACACGAAGTAATGTGTAAGCCACTGCTTAAAAGTTTTAAAAGTTTGTCAGACCCTCAAGATCTCCAGCAGGAGGACAGTTGTGAATGGGCATGGCCTCCTGGCACAAGGGGGCATGAGGAAGTGAGCCACATTCTCCCTTATTTCTGGCAGGCAAACACCATCTTTGAAGAGTTAGTGTTTGAATGGTGTGATTTTTTTTTAAGAGGACAAAAGGGCCTCTTAACCAAAAATATCTCTACCAACCTGGAGGGGCAGAAATTCTTGTTTTTGGAGGAATGGAGGACGTATGCCTCTTACCCAGTTTAGTGCACTGGAGTCCTTGCCCTGTGATTAGTTTTTATAGACATGCTCTTCCTTGTAACTGAGTCCTCTCAGAGGAAGCGTTGATGAAAGACAAGGGGTACTAGGATAACAAGATGTGCCACTCTGCCGAAACCCATTTGGCTCAGTGGATAGAGCGTCGGCCTGCGGACTGAAAGGTCCCGGGTTTGATTCCGGTCAAGGGCACGTACCTTGGTTGCGGGCACATCTCTAGTAGGGGGTGTGCAAGAGGTAGCTGGTCAATGTTTCTCTCTCATTGATGTTTCTAACTCTCTATCCCTCTCAATTCCTCTCTGTGTAAAATCAATAAAATATATTTTTTTAAAAAAGATGTGCCACTCCATCACCCCCGGGACCCATCACCTCGCCTTTTGCCACCGAGTTCACCTGGACCCCGCCTCTCATCCTTGTCTCCCTACACTCCAGTCTTTATACAGAAGTCAGGGTGCTCTTTCTAAAGTGGAATTCAGATAATATTATTTGTCTAAGTTCTCCGGTGGCTTCCCGCTATCAGCAGGAAAACATGCAAACTCTGTACCATGGCCTGCAAGACTAAACCTCTGACCTCATCTCCTATCCGCCTTCCCCAAGTTCCAGCACCCAGCTCTTCACATTGTTCCTAGAAGGTGCTAAACTGCTTCCCTCCTCGGGGCTTTTGCACTTGATGATCCCTCAGCCTGGAATGCTGTTGCCCCAGAACTTCCCTGAGTTGGCCCATTCTCAGCACTCAGGTGTTGATTAAATATCACTTCTCTAGAGAAATCTTCTCTGACCCTCATAGCTAAAATATCCATCCCACCCTTACTCCAATCCTTAGTCCTGATGAGTTAGCCCATGTTCTCGGCTGTGTCTCCAGCACCCAACACAGAGCCCGACACAGACATTCGCTGAAGGGATGCACCCATGCCAAGAAAGAGAAGGGCTGTTGTGAAAGCACGTAGGAGGGAGCCAAACAACGAGGTGGAAACTGGCTAGAGGTACAGCTCACCTACTTTAAAGTGTTCCTGTGGCTGGTAGAACTATAAAATAGCCTGTGTAGCTCCACTGTGATAATTAGGGTATCCATTCTCTAGCCAGCCAACAGAGCACTAACCAGTTGCTCCTTTAGAAGAAAAAAAAAGATCTGTTACCCTTCTATGAACTTTTAATTCACTAGTAGTTACAATTCAAATCAATAAAGGTATTGGATTTGTACCCATATAAAGGCTTTTATGCCACATATGGATCATGAAATAAATTAGCCACATCCAGAGTTAGTGTCTATGAAGGACTCTATGTCAACTTTGGAAGACTTGGGGGCCCTCAGGGATAATGGTCTAAAGTGCATTTTTTCAGCACCCACAACATGCAAGATGCTCAGTGAGGCATATATATATATATATATATATTTTTTTTTTTTCAAGCTAGCTATCAGTGAATTAAATGCCAACAGAAGGATAAAAGATCCATTTGTGGGTAACGGAACTATCAGACCTGCAGTTTAGAAAGACAACTCTAAAGGAATCTGCAGGGAGGCTTGGGAAGGGGAAGACCAGCAGGCTCCCATGAAAGGAATCCGACATGACCTGATGGCCTGGAGGAGACGGGTCTGGGGAGGAGAAGAGGAAGGAAACCCTGGGAGAGCCACTGTGGATGTAGAAGGAACAGACTCTGGTGACTTCTGGGACATGGATAATGGGGGGTTGTGGAGACAGGGATCACATGGGTGGCACCAAGGTCTTGGAGGCCACAATGAGATGGAATGGGATGCTATTTACCAAAGGGAAGGGAAAGGAAGAGCAGGATCTGAGGTTGAGTCATCAAGAGGAGCTCAGTGGTTTAGTTTAGACATAGGAAACTTAAGTTTCTAGTGGCATATTAGGTGGACATGTAATTCTGGAACTCATGAAAGAGCCTGGAGATGAAGTTCACAGGCCAAACAAGGAAGCATGAGCTCACTCTGGGAGCAGATAGAGAGGTTAGGGTAAGTGCCTGGCTTAGAAATGGAGCCCTATTGATTAAGGAAAGAGGTGACCAGAGAGGTGAAAAGTCTTAGGACAGAGGAAGGCCACGAAGGAGAGTTAAAGGAGGAGGGTGGGATAGTTTTCAGGATCTAAGGCAGAGAACATTTAACAAGATGAGAATGAAGAGAGGTTGTTTGTTGGGTTTGACATTTAGAGACAGCCATCTCACTGCTCTACCAACAGTAAACAGCTAAAAACAAACAAACAAGTTATACTCTAACTAGAGGCCTAAAATATAACAAAATTATACTCCAACTAAATGAAATTTGTGCGCGGGGCGGGGGGGGGGTGTCTCTCAGCCAAGATAGCACCTTCTCAGGACCAGTAGGGGATGTCCGACTGATGGCTTAGTCCTATAGGGAGTGGGCCTAAGCCATCAGTTGGACATCCTTAGCGCTGCTGCGGAGGCGGGAGAGGCTCCCATCACCGCTGCTGCCCTAGCCAGCCATGAGCCCAGCTTCTGGCTGAGCGGTGCTCCCTCTGTGGGAGGGCACTGACCATCAGGGGGGCAGCTCCTGCATTGAGCATCTTCCCCTGGTGGTCAGTGCATGCCATAGTGACTAATTGTTCTGCTGTTTGGTTGATTTGTATACTAACCTTTTATTATACAGGAGGATAAGGAACATTTAACAGAAGAACTATTTCTTTAATATAATTGAGTTGTTTTTTAGCATAAATGGGTGCCGATCTGGGACTCAAAAACATAATTTTTCCCATTCAAATGAATGGAACTTATGCTTTTGAATTCCTTCTACAGTTTTTCTAGAAATGAATTAATCTTATAGAATGAAGAAGACTGTACTTTGCTTTTGGGTTTGGCCCAAATAACCCCCAAATGGTACTCTATAAAATACCTTTCTGAGGGTTTTTAACAGTCACCTCATAAAAATAGGCACTCTGTGTTCCAGAGAGTTTGGGAAATAGTACAGACTAAATCTTGCAGAGATTTATAACATAATACATTCAGTAGGCATAAAGCTTAACTTTGTAATGCCAGTGTTTCCAAACATTATTTGACATTCTTACAGGAAACACCTATTATTATCTGGAGGAACACAGTGTTCCTTAGGACATTATATATAGATCACAGTTCTAGACGCTGGGGGGGTCATGAAAAGAGCCCAGGCTTTGAAGTCCAACAGACCTCACTTCAAATACCAGCTCTACCACTTATTTGCTTGTGTCCTTGGGCAAACTGCTCATTCATCACTCTTTGAAGAGGGGATAACAACCTCTCTCTTTGGAGAGCTGTCCTAAGACTTTGAACTGAAATACATAAATGCCTAATTCAGTATCTGATGCATAGTAGGAGCACAAGAATTGTAGTTTATACATTATCTCTAGGCCTCCTTCAAGCCTTGCCAAGTACACAGGCTCTTAGCATGAACAGGACGACTTTATTTCATGTTCCAAAATGTCCAAAGTGATAGCACTGGGTTTCCAAAGCGTCTACCTAATATAAAAGCACTTGTCCCAGTTCCTACATCAAGAGCTACTCTCAGGGGCTGTGAACAACTGGGTTTCAAGAACAGATGAGAAAAGCTTCCTGTTTCAAGTCTGTGTCCCAATAAGCACTTTCAGAACTTATGAACATATAGTCTACATGTGTTTGAGAACTCAGGAAGGTATTCTAAAAGGATTAACATTTAAGATTTAAATGAAGAGCATGTAATTCCTTTTGAGAACCTAATGGGTATAAATATATACTTGAATTTAAAAATAACATGACTGTTATGGAATAATTCTATCCTATATAATAAAAGGCTAATATGCAAATCGACCAAACAGAGGAACCACTGGTCACTATGATAGGTACTGACCGCAAGGGGGCAGACGCTCCAACAGGGGGAGTGCTGCTCATCCAGAAGCTGGGCTCATGGGCCTAAGCTGTCAGTCAGACATCCCCTGAGAGCTCCCAGACTGTGACAGGGTGCAGGCAGGGCTGAGGGACATCCCCTCTCTTTCTGAGTGCATGGATTTTGCGCACCAGGCCTCTAGATAATTAATAATAATTATTATTTAAGACATGTTTTAAATAATAACTCAAATGTTAGAGACTGAGTAACCCACTATCAGGGTCATAGTATGTTAAAAAAAAAAAAAAAAAAAAAAAAAAAAAGGTAAAATTAAGAGAACAAGTTTAACATCATTGATGTCCACACAGATCTCAAGAATTGAGGTGTCATGAGAGGAATGAACACACGTGCACACACAGTGAATTTCAAAGTATTTGCAAAAGCATATCTGGGCTTACACATGTGGTTATAAGAATTAAAGATAGTGGGCTGATTGCTGAGCCCACAAAATCATCACATAAAAATAAGTCTAGCTGCTCTGATTATGAAAAACTGATATCAAGTCCAAATCTAGAGCAGCTAAGGGATGATTCATGCTATTGGCTTCCTTTGCCATACATGGGATCATAGCATTATTTGGGAAGATGTAGTCTCCGACATTTGAAATTGAATATACAACAAGGTCCCTTGTGAAATTATTATTTGAAAGTGGAAAATATCCTTTGATTAAGAGGCTGAGAAATCACTTTGGGAATTAATCTTATGCCACTGATTTAGTGATCTGTGCAGCTTGGGCCCTGGAGCTTCATTCTCTTCATGTCTTTAATGCTGGATGGAACATGTTAATACATACATAAAGAACACACAGTATGATAAAATGTTCTGGAAAAATAGAAAACATTACCCAGATCTTAGGAAATAATATGCATGATATTTTTTTCCTGAACCTCTAATTATCTGCGATTGATATTTTTCTTTCACACAGAGGGAATAAAAGGGAATAGCTCCTGATCCAAACACCTGGGTTACAACTTTAGCTCTTATAATCATTTGCTGGGAAATGTTAGGCCATGAATTAATTCTTCTAGCTCTCAGTTTCCCCACTGTTAACAAATATTTGAAAAATTTTCTGCCAATTTCAGGATGTTAATAATAAAATATTAACAAATTGCCTTATTGAGGCTTCTTTCTAGGCTGGCATGTAATTGATTGGGACCCTGACCTCTGTCCTAATAAGAAAAACAATGACATTACTGTATTGAGTTGTCTAGCATGTGTTTAATAAACATCATTTTATCCTCACACAATCCTATGGTGTAAATAGCATGATCACTCTGTTACAGATGAGGACACTGGGGGCAGCGAGACCTTAAGGGGCACGCCCAGAGGGACACACAGTAGTGGCAGTGCCAGGATTTGAACCCAGACTGCCCGGCTCCGAAACCCCCGCGATATTCTATATTATGACCTTTGATGTCAGCACACCTGGGGCTGGAACTCACATAGCTCTACAACCTTCTACATGTTTCATCTCCTATCTCTCTCTAAGCCTCTGCTACTTCATTTGTAAAGTGAAAAATAATAACAGCATCCTCTTCATAAGGTGATTTGTGGGGATTAGATTAATTATTTCGCGAAAGCACCTAGAAAAGTGCCTGGTACAGAGAAAGCAAGTAATGCATGCGAGCTATGGCACAAGATGTAAGTCATTGTTGGGCTCTACCTTCTACTGGGCTGATCACCCTCAGTCTGGGATAGCTGTTCCCCAAAAGAAAGAGTTAGGCTCATCATTGCTGGATGGGCAATGGATTGCCAGTCCCTTGTCACCATCTCTCTGAGTACAGCAGCAGCTCCTGTTCTACTTTGGGATAATGACCTTGTCCTCAGGCCAGGCTTTCCAATGGAGCCAATTATATTTCTAATTAGACTCTCACCAATCTCTTTGCTGGGATGACCCAACTCCAGTGACTCACAGTAAAGCTACATAACCTAAGGGGATGTGGGCTCTTCAGAGAGGTTAAATGCCCATTCAAATGGAATCACTTTTTTTGTTTGTTTAGGGCTTTTTTTTTTTTTTTTTTTTTTTTTTTTTTTAGTGAAATTCCTTGATTCTTAGGGAGAATTGCTAAATCCAAAAGATTCTGGATGCTGATTCTCTACCAATAAGCTGAGCAAACCTGACTCAAACCACATCATCAGGACAACTCTGGTGACTGGGAAGTGGTTGCTGGGATATGGGTCTGTAACATGACAGGGTCGCCCCCGATTCCTATGAAGCTCCCCAATACACAATATGAGCAACTCATAGCTGGACCACAATCTACTATTTTCAGATGCATTGAGCTGCTGCTATGAATTAGTTCCATGCAGCCACACTGAGTCACTGCCACGTATTAGGCCATAGCTTTTAGGTGGCTTCCTATTTATCATATTATCTTACTAAACACTTTCTAACAAAGAAGTGACCCAGACACTGTCAAGGTAATAGACAATAAGGTCAATGAAAAAGAAAAACTCAACTTATTCAGCAGAACTACCTGTCCCTATTTTTACTAGCTTGTCCTACCGTGTGCCCACAATGAATCCAGGACATCACGTGTGTCTGTGCACAAAACTCCCTTCAGTTCTGTTAATATAGCTCCAGGTGGTATGTTCAGCAAAAAAAAAAAAAAAACAATAAAGAACCCGCATCTGAGCCAGCCACCCTTTAGGTGCTTCCTGTTTGTTAATTCTATTTTTTCTTGTCAACAACCCTTTGAAAGACTATTTATTTGTCTGTCTTTTCTATTGCTACCACTTTATATCCCTAGCACCTAGCACAGCACCAGAAACAGACCTTTCTAATCCTTTAGTGTTTTAGAGGCTGGGCAAAGGGATGGTTGCAGATATGAGAAGCTATCACTGGGAGAGTGTGAGCTTCCTTTGTCCAAGGGTCAAAGACTATCATCTGCCAGGACAAGTAATCCTGGGCCTCTTGGTTCTAGAATTCAAATCAATGCACCCTAAAGACACCAGCTGGTTCCTACAATTCAGACTTCAGAAAAACATATTTCTTTTCAGATTGAAACTGACACATACACACACACACACACAAAAAAAAGACCAGTGTCTGGTTAGATTCCCAGTTGTTCTAGAAGTTGAACACTTCTCTCCTGGCCTGTTGGCTTCTCCCTCCAACCCGCTCTCCCTCCCTCCCTTTCTCCCTCCCTCCCTCCTTCCCTCCCTCCCCTTCTTCCCCAGCTACCTTTTGGATTACAGTTGCAGGGCAAACAGCGGTCTCTTTCTCTCTGCCTGTAGAATCCTTCCTTGCACCGCTCGCAGTGAATGCCACCGGTGTTGTCCTTGCAGTTGAGGCAGCGGTATCCATGCCCCGTCTGCCTGTGAAGTTCCCAATCAAAGACACATTGCTGGGACTTTCCATTGCAATCACAGACTGGGAATCAGGCAAAGAAAAACATCGTTAGCAAAAAGGACAGAGCCAATTCTCCCAGGTGCTATGTTATTAATATAAGCTATGCATGGGGCCTACAGCTTAGTTCCAACTACTTGATGGAGTAAGAAGACATGAAAGGAGCCAGGTGAGGACTGGGAGAGTTCTCACTCATCTAAAGGAAGGAACAGTTATGCAGGGCTGGTGAGATGTTCCCTGAGAGAACATGAGTCCAGGGTTACCCAAGTGTTCATTTCCTCAAAAGTCTTCTGTGTTTTTATGTGAAAATTTCTGAATTAAATATTTGCAAGAAGTTCATTTTTAAAACCCCATGTAACCCTATAGAAAAAGTGTATGGGATGGAGACCTGAGGACTGCCAGCATGTGGACAGTGGCCTAGCTAACAGCTGGTGGTTTCATCTTTTCAAGACACACAGCACAAAATCTGCTTCTCCAGTGATGGTCCATGCTGAGGAGCTAATAATATGACTATCTGGACAGGTATCTCCTGCTCCACTCACTGTGCCTGGCACGTCCCTCCCAAAGCCACGTATCAAAGAGAACCATGGCCCCATAAAGAATGACCTTTCCCAGGTGTCTAGAGAAGCTTACCATGTGGATGTTCAAAAGAGACTCACAGAGTGGCATCTCCATGTGAGACCTGCACAGCCAATGAGGTAATGCGTGGAAATATGTAGCTTAGTACCTGGCACAGAGGCAGATACTAAAAAAAAGTTTCATCACCACGTAGAAGAGAAAGATGATGAGCCTCGAGGTAAAAAGAATTGGATCAAATACTAGTTCTGCTAGTTCCTGGGGCAAATGACTCTGAATCCTGGCTCTTCTCTTAGAAATGTACACACATTGTCTGCCTCCCTGGCCTGTGAGAGGGTCCCACTGAGAAGAGAATATCTAGTCCTTCGCCTACACTGTTGTGTCCCTTCCTCCCTCCCATGGGACAGGCACTGGCTTGGATGGGAAAAGTGCAGCTCTGCAAGGGGAAGTCACTTGACACAGTGGAGAGCTGGAATTTGAACCCGTCCGATGCCAAAACTCACTTTCTTTTCGCCAGGCACCCTGAGAGCCTGTTTCTAGAGGCGCCTAGGGCCACGACTTACCCAGAGCACTGTTAATAACTTCCGCAAATATGCCAAGACATACTGAGCAGCTGCCCCTTGCAAGCCGAGTCAGGCTCTGAAGACACAAAGGTGACTTGGCAAATCTTAGGAGCTTCCTGAGCGACTTCCTGACATCAGCTCCTAGAACTCACATGCTACTTGGGGTGCCAACTAATTTAGGGCAAGTCAACTAACATCAATCCAGAGCCCACTCTGTTTCTAGGAGTTTAAGTGCATCAGCTCATAACAACACTTGAACCTGAGTTTTACTATCCCCATTTCACAGAAGGCTTAGAGGGAGTAGGTATCTTGCTCGAAATCAGACAGCTAAGTGGGCTAAGATAAATTTGCTCCCAGGCCTGTCCAATCACAAAACCCTTACCTTTCCACTTCTCAAAAATCTGGTTTACCACGGAAAGTAGTCATTCTTTTTATAAGTTCAATTCCTTCTTGAATCCTTTCTAATCTAGTACCATCTCATGTTCTTTTTTAGGCAGTGCTAGTTGTTATAAATTATTTTTTATAGAGTCTTAAATCTGTCTCCCTCCCTGTAATTTTTATCCTGTATTCTTGTTCTTCCTTGGAAAAATCACACACACACACACACCCTACTCTCTTTTTCATTTATCTATTTATTCATCAGATACTTATTTGAGAGATTGTTCTACATCAGCCAAGCCTTTGAATATTTTAAGATAGCACCCTGTTTCCCCGAAAATAAGACAGTGTCTTATATTAATTTTTGCTCCCAAAGATGCGCTAGATCTTATTTTTAGAGGATGTCTTATTTTTTCATGCACTAGGTCTTATTTTTGGAGGATGTCTTATTTTCAGGGAAACACGGTAGCCATAGCATCTCCCCTCTTCATCTTTTTTTTTTCCCCCTTCAGGTTAAGCTGGAAGGCTGTCACCTCCAAGACCTCCAACCATCTCCCATGTGATGATTCCTAGATACTTCTTGACTACCCATCCAAGAACAAATTTTCACTATGTTTGTTTAAATGACCCGATTTATTACAGTACTTCTAGTGTGGTTTGAACAGCTCCGCTTCCAACAAGACCAGGTATTACAACTCTGTGGCTGCAGCCTAACATTTCATTCAACTCACAGCCTATTCAATTTGTGCTCAAGTCAAGCTCCCAGGGCTTTTCACAGAGCTGGTGCCAAGGTGAACCTTTCCCAGTGAATGCGTGTGTGACTGATGTTTTGGATCTGGAACAGATGTGCCACACAGCTGTCACGGGCTGTGAAATTTCTACTGAGTACATTGTGAGGCACGTAAAAGAGTTACATTCACCAGCCAATGATCCTTATAAGGTTACTCAGCTCTCTGTGCCCTGGATGACTTTGGCAAGGAGTCGAAATTACAAACTTTTCATTGTGCCTTTCTTATTCAGAACAAACTTTTTGCTGGTGATAGTTGATTTCATAAAGACAGCTCATGATACATTTAATTTAGAGCAATATTTAAAAAATAGACAACCTTGTCATTATCTTTTTTCCCCCTTTTTTTACCTATGTCCAAGCTCTATTCTGAAAGAACTATGTTCTTCCTTTAAAGTCACAGTCATTCTTGGAGATGCATTATAGTTCCAGCAAGGGAGTTCTCCAACCAGCATCTCCACTCTGGAACTTGCCCAACAGGTTACAAACCTATTGTCAATCCTCCTCTCTCTCACCTGGGTTTTTGTCAACCCCAAGGTCATGCTGGTTGGAATGAAAGAACCTATGGGCCTCATGTCCGGGGAGTGCACTGGCCTTCTGTGTCTGCATTATGTGATAATCCCATGAAGACACTCTGTCCAGCCTTGTCTGCGGGACCTTGAAGTTACCAAATGGCACTGAGCTCAATACTTAGCTGCACTGCACTTAGCTCAAATATCTTCCGAACACTCACACCCAGAGAATGAGGGGAGTTTGCCCTTTTGCTTGGAATGACCCCTTTTGTCACGGATGCATTTACAACATGGCCTCTCTCAAATCATCTCCCAAATTTAGACTAACTTCCCCCAAACCAATTATTACTTAATCTCACTACTGATAAAAAAAAAAAAAAATCTTTATGATTCCAATTTCAGATGATTCCTACAAATTCAGAGCTGAACAAAATGGGCCTCATACAGCTTGTGCCTGGTCTGTCTTACTCTGTGACCAATTTCTGCCCAGCCAGTACCATGGGCACACCACTGGTTGCCAAAGGGCGCTGCCAGGCTAGGAATAAGAGAGCAGAGGGAACTCTGCCAAAAGGGCTAATGGGAGAAGCTGTACACTCTCTTAGCCAATCTTGCCATACAGAAACGATGCCTCCCATAGATAGCATTTCCACTTATGTTCTTAAAGGAGAGAGAAATTTCGCTTTATGTCTGAAATGTACTGATTTTTAACTATTGGCAGAAATATTTTTTAAATTTATTTTTGAAATGAAGCTGGGCAAGTATCTTCACTTGATTCTGCCCTTCAAACAGGCCGAAAGTACACCCATGCTTTAGAAAAGGAAAAATGAAGCCCTGGTATCTGGCTCAGTGTCTGTATTTAGTAGGTGTTTGGTGCTTTTCAATGAACAAATGAATGAATGTTTTCTTAAACTTCAGAAAATTCCTAGATGTGTTTGTACCATTCAAAGGACCCCACGTGTTCCCACATGTCTGGATGTGCCTTAAAATACAAATACTGACACTGAGCAGACACTCTGTTCCCCATTCCTAGAGGGAATGCTTTTCTCCACAGAAGCCCCGTCTAAAACTAGCATTCTTTGATAGCTTATCATATGACTTATTTAGACTAACAGACCTAAATACAAGGCTAGAATACACTTCTAACAGGAGGAAATTCTAAAAAGGATTTTAGTATACTTTCCTTCCTCTGTGTTTAGTCTTGTTCAATTTTATGCCCAGAATTTTCTCATTTTCATTTTGTAATGTACTTGGTAAATTCTGGGCCAGCAGCAAATTTCATGACTGTGTTCTCTAGTTTCCATCAGGAAGCCTTGGTTCATAAGCAACTGATAGAAGTGTAAAAATAAAGGCCTTAGACATTCCCTTTTTATTAACAGTCCATTCACTCAATCCATTTGCTCAACAAATAGATAATAAGCATCTACTGTATGCTAGGCCCTGTTCTAGGCACAGGGGGTAAAGGGTATATAAAATCAATAGATGTTTCAGCCCTTTTGGAGTTCTCATGCAAGTAGGAGGGAAAGAAGATAAATAAGAAATACAGAGAGAATCCTGAGAGTGATATTTGTTAAGGACAGCTACAGAACATGGTGAAAGGAAATAAAAATCAGAGAGTGGATCAGGTGCTGGTTTCCTATTTTATTTCTATTTTGATAGTGATCTGTTCATGATCTTTGTCCATTTACCTAATGGGCACCATGAGTTTTTTTTTAAATTATCATTATAAATTACCATGCCTTGTTTTTATAACAAAGGTAGCAAACTCTTTGCCTGTCATGTTGCAGATTTCTTTGTCCCTCCTGATAAATCCCCTTTCTCGTCAAAGCGCCTCATTGATAGATTTTGTTTTACTAATTCTTGTTCCTTTTCCCCGCTCCTTGTTCTCTCCTTAGACAATGAGCTGTACGCCTATTTCATTCATTTAATAAACATCGCCTCATGCTTAACAGTGAGGCTGCACTTGGTGCTCAGACACTGGGACTTAGTGAAGAAGCAAGATTTCAAAAAGGGGAGTTTCTAAGAGTTTATTTTGTCAAACATGATATTCTGTATATATTTACTTAATATTTATTGGGTTTTGTCAAGCACTCATCACATCATCCACATTTTCGTCCTTTCACCTTAAGGGATCACTGAACCAGAAAATACAGAAACAAATCTGACTGGGACCCTGAACAGACCTGAGGCCTCAGAGGCTCTAGGAATCAA